CATTATTATTCTAAAAATAAAATTATGAATTAAATTTAAAACTGTTGATAAAAATGAACAAACTAAAAAAAAAATTAAACAATACAGTTAAATAGTGAAATGCAAACTATATTTACGCAGTTATAAGATAACCATTATGTAAAATCTAAAGTATAATACATTTCTTTATGATATTTAAAACATTATACAGAATAGTATTGTAAATAACAATTTATTATTTCAGGATATTTATAGAACATAAAATCATTTTAAAATTAAATTAAATATTTATACACAATATAAATTTTAATCAACTACAATTGTATTTTTATCTCACAGCTAAATGAAGGACCAAAAATGTTTTTTTATGCTTCAGGTTTGTGAATATCTCTCATCATTTCATGAACTTCCAATAAAGCAAGACCTTAAAATTGAATCAACATTTAGTTTTGATCGTTTTAGATGTTTACTTAATTTTACTTACTGAAATTTTGTTTCACCTTGTATACTCTGTGAGGTATGATAATTAATTGATTGTTCAATTACAGTTCATCTTTTGAATGTTGCCATAAGTGTTTTTAATGATGAATGTTTTGACCGTTTTGGCCATTTGTTTTTCAACTCATCTATTGTACACCAATTTATTCATCTTATGTTACTTTATTGGAAAACATTTTGGTAAGAAAAATGATCCAGTTTATTCACACAGTATCTCAAAGGATGCAAGATTTATGCTCAGTGTTTGTATTTTCAATAATTCAAACGTTATCTTTTGTGTATGGTTCACCTAATCACCTCCAAGGTAAAGCAGTGGTTCCAAACTTTTTTCACCACGGTTTTAAAATTTAAGTATTAACTTATATGTGACTCAGTCATACTTTACCAATACCAATACTAATAAATAAATACCATTCCCCATCGGTAAAAATAATATAAAATAGCAAACAGTAAAAATAAATTTAATATAATATAATTAGTATTTTAGGATTATAATTTTTCAACAATTAATATTATTGTATAAAAATTAAATTGCACACAATTTATGCAAACAAACAAAAACAATTATAAAAATATGTTGCATTAGTTTTCTGCAACCTACCATAAAAATCATCCACCACCTCATTTTTGGTCTCAGCCATAATTATTTAGGGTTGCCAATGATATAAAATATGTATTTAGCGTTCGCTAGAAAATGTTTCCAAACGAGGGAGGGGGCGAGAACATATTGCTAGGGAAGGTGCGAGCAGTCATCACAAAGTGAAATTTGTTTTTATTAAATATTAGATTAGGTTAAGTAGATTAATAGCAGAGTAAATTGTAGGGCAAAAATAAAAAATTAACGAGCGGTTATCAGATATCGGTAAAGATTACGAGCAAGGCTGTATTTGGTAGCGGTTACAGGGGGCATTTAAGTTGCACGGGCAAATCTTTTTGTGATGACTTTATGTTTTTTTTGTTTTTGCTCATCGTGTTGTTCAAAAAGCGGTGGGAACGCGAGATTTTTGAAAATCTACAAAGGGGACGTATAACAAAAGAGAACGAGAACCATTGATTTCGCCGGGATGCGACGGTAAAAAGGTTGAGAAACATTGCGGTAGACCACCGGACTGTTTTCTTGACGGGTCACTTTTTTTATTACAATAGACGAGCTGCTACACGCATGTTTGTTGTTTAAGCCACACGGTCAAACATAAAGGGCTCTTTTTAGTGGCCAATGTACGATAATAAAATTACCATGTTTTTGTCACGGACTGAGATATAGTAGTAGCATAGACCTTATACTGGGTCTATGAGTATATCGTACACATTTAGCTTCCCCATATTTTGTTCGAAAATATTTCGTTGAAAAATAATTTGACAGAAAATATATTTACGAAAATTATTCACGCAGAAAAATATTTGACTAGAAAAGTATTCTAGTTGAAAAATAATTTATATGAAAATATAACGGACAAAAATAAAATGATGGAAAAATATTTTACGAGAAAAGTTTTTTGTCTGATAATATTGTACACGAAAATAAATTTGTCGAAAAATAATTTATTAGAAATGTATTTAGTTAGACAATTAGTTATACAAATAAAGAGCGCTGTTGAAAAGGCAAGCCATAACACGGCTACAGATATATTTATACCCAGTGCTCGAATTGATAAAGTAAAAGAAGCGGTACTATAAGACATAAAAAAAAATTAGCGTCCCTTGTAATTATTGAACTCCACCCAATCCGTGGGAGGCTTAGCCCTCCACACCTCTCACACCAATTTTCATAAAACATAATTCAGTAATTTATAAATTCCGAAACCAAATACTGCCTACTGCAAGCTAACTTTGTACCTACTATAGTAAATATTATTGATTTTAGATTCTAATATGATGGTTACTACTATGATTCTATTATGATGTGTTTTTTCTGTATGTGAACAACATTTTTACCAGAAATTTTATTCTAATTATCAACATTACAGGCGATGGTTCCTAGTAAAAATTGTTGTTTGGTTGGTGCAACAAAGAGGTTATTTTTTGATTTTCTTTATAGTATTCTTAATTACGAGGAAATCACTAGAAAAAACGTCGGGAAAACTCATAACTGTTACATTTACTGCCTCTATTCTATTCTATTTCGTTTATTCAATGAAAAATAATCGTAGAGGTCAGAAATTCCACTAAATACTTTTATAGGTATTTGAATCTCTTTCCATGCATGGTACCTTGTATCCTCAACCGCATCCCATGCGTTTTGCTTCAAACAAATAGCAAAGGTACGCTTACATTTTTGAAAAACTAGTTGAGGTACTCTGTTCCCTGCGCCCCTTCCCCTCAATTCGAGCACTGTTTATATCTATGACCACAGTTAAGTTATAAGACCGGATTTTGCATGAAATGCAAGTAGCTATTTTCAACATAATATACATGCAGTCCACGAGTGTCCATGAATCAAAACCTAACTGATTGAATATCAAAATTTTATATTACATATTTTTGCATATTTGATAAAATTTCCTGCTACATTTATACCGACACAATTTATTTTTAGTACGAATTACGCCGTTGTCAAGTTAATGTATTGAATTCACGTGTTTTTTAAATTTTATTGTGTATGTTTTGCTTTTTGTTCTTGCATATCTTGCCTCTTTTAGTGTATGTTTGCACGAATATTTTACATTTTAAAATGCATACAGATCCGGTCTTTATAGGTATAGAGATATCATGGTTGTAGATAATACCAATTCCAAATTGGCTGCAGACAATCTATCGTAATACACGTTCATACACGCCAAATGTCACCAACTGTGAATGAATAAAATCTGCATTTGTAATCGAACACGTTTCCACCTCTCCCTACGAATTTTTTTTGAAATTAGGAATTGAACGACATCGACAAGACTTGTTGATTAGTAACAAAACGAACAGCAAACCAGAAAAATACCCAATCAGTATACCATAAACCAATATTCAGTGGTAAACAGATGATACGAGGTAACAGTATAATCACCTTTATAGGTATTTTCACCAAAATATATTTCTTCTGAAATACGGTTTGACGTAAACATTTGTTGGTTTATTTATTTCTCTGATAAAATATCATTCTAACAAAATATTTTCGTACTTTAAACGCGTCCCCGTATATGTTCTAATATTATTTTAATAATATGATATAGCTGTATGTACTTATTTCTGATTAAACAGTATCTGTTTCAAGGTGGATTAATAAGGTGTAAACACCTGGCTTATCAGTTGATTGAAAACATTACTGCAGTAAACATTGAAGGTAGGTTTGCTGCCTACCTGATATACTTCTATATAATGGTCAAAAAATTTACCGTTAACAGAAGTTTTACTGTATATGTACCTAGTGCCCTACCTAGTATGTGTCAATAGGTAACTATTGCTTGAACATTTTGATATAATTATTATTAGGAGATAGTACTCCTAATTACTTTTGTTAATTATACATATATCATAATATTAAAATATATTTCATTATAGTCAAGTTTTTTTTTTTTAAATGTTTTTAATTTTTAATTTTTTTGGTCTGACACTCGATTATTATATTTTATACAGGCAAAAATCATTTTAATATTTAAATAAAATTGTAATTAAATATAATGTATTTTGTAAGTTCATGATACCTAAAGCTAACTTTAGACCTAATTTTTTAACCTCAGAAGTGGAACTAACACACATACCTTTTGAGCTGTATTATTCATTTTCATACCAAAATATACATTTAAATAATATTATGGTAAATTCTACATTAAACTATTTTATATACTTTTAAAATGTTCCTATTAAACTAAACATCAAGAAGACCAATTATCTACTTTTAGTTATAATGCATTGGCTAAATTTAAATTAAAGTTAAGTTAAATTATATTATAATGTATACAAATAAATTAAAATTAACTATGTGACTGAAAAGTGCTCTAAAAAATCGTTGGGAAATGGAAAAAAAAAGTTTTGCTTTTGAAGTAGGTATACATGTATATATTATGTTACATATAATAAATAATGTACTTAGAAAGCATTGTCCAAGATCACATAAGAGAAGATGCACTTTACATAGAAATCCAAGCTCTAGGTTTGTAAATCTAGATTTACAAAAACAACATTGTTTTTTTAATAATAATTTTGCTAAATCCAGGAAACATATAAAACAATTGTTGAATTTTTTTTTCTAACTGTATTATTAGGCAAAGAGGCTCAACTTGATGAAATCTACTAAAAAACGCTTAAACTACTTCAGTTGATCTTGAACGGTTTTCAATTTTCAAACATTTTTTCAAACATATTTTACATGAAAGAAAAACTGGATTATGAAAAAAAAATAAATAATAATAATAATGATTGTTATCTATAGGTAATAAAATAATAATAAATGTTGCATGGTGCACAATGTATTTATTTTTATCTGTACCTACTGAAATGTGTTATTTTTATTTTTTTATTGCATATTTTAAAAATTCTTATTGCATAGAAATCTATTCTCTAGTTATAACTTATAAAAGAAAGATAATTAGGTCATATAATAAATGAACAATTTCAAAATGTGTAAAAGGCTCGGAAACTAAAATATAAAAAGGTTGGAAACTAGTTTTTAATATAATAATAAAATTGTACATAGAAAATAATTTAAATTATAGACAGTTGACAGATAGCAGGCACTGTGGCATCATCGAGAGGAAATGAATTATATAACAACCATAACAACCATTTAAATGTTTACACATATATTTCTTTTTTATCATGAAAATATAAATAACTTTGTATTTTATTTAAATTTACTGGACGCTTATACATATTTACTTACAACACTAATAATAATAATTGTAATAGTATCCAAAATAATTACTGTAATAATTGAAATATAATATAATATTCATAAATGTTTTTAATAAATTATTTTGGTTGAGTTCCTTTGGTGACAAGAATGTCTCAATAATAAAAAAGTAAATTAAATCAAAAATTTTACACAAATGAAAAAAATAATAGGAAGATCAGAATTGAGTTTGATATTTTAAAAAATTCTGCTTTAAATAGTCATACATAGGGGGAAATTAAATCAACCATATAAATATCAGCCAGTATTATAATTGTGGATATTTTGTATTTTAATAAATAATAATAAATATTATATGAATAGAAAAAGAAATGAATATAAATTAAATAATATGCAAATTCATATCAAACTGGTCCAGTCTTATACAGATTTTTATTTATAGCAGGCAGTAACTGTAAAAAAAATTTTCAACACTTTAAGAAGAATGATGGACATCACTGTGACTGTCGTTTGGTTTGTTTTCAAAAAGCAATGGTTGTGATAAAGAATGTTTCATTTTTGAACCATTATTAGTGTTTGGAAACTCCAAAAATCTTGGTGGTATGTCCGGTGATGATTCTAAAGATGTATTTGATGAAGACAATCTTGATGAATGCAGTTTTAAGCTGAATATAAAAAAAAAAAATTATTGTTTTTACATAAAGTATCTAAGAAGTATTATAATAATTATTAAAATTTTAGTTTGACATCAATTTGATAATAATACATAAAATTATCATGAATTCTCTGTGTCTCATTTTCATATACTTAACTTTATGACTACAATTTAAAACATTTAAAATAATAACTTACAAACTTGATCTTGGTTGAACAAAAACTAAACAGTTAAGTAAAGTTGTACGTAAATCATTGGTAACATAACCATTATACCAACGTAGTTGAGCGATGTTCTTGTTTAATAAATAAACACCATAGTTAAATTCTAATCGTGTTTTAGAACGGCCAAATAGAGGAAAACTTAAGAAAAAACATAACATTATAGATAATTATATAGATACCATAATCTTATAGGAGATAATTACTTACATTCGGTCTCCATCTTGCATGTCAAATGTAATATGATCAATAATTTTGCTACGAGATCCAAAATAATTGATAGGATATCTCAAAGGGATATTCATAAAATTTGAGGTCATTTGTACTAAATGAGCAACATAACCAAAACCCACATCCAACTGAATATCACTACATCCATCTAAATTTTCAGAATCCGGTAGATGAATATTACATATTGAAATATTTCCAATGATCTGAAACAGTTTTTTTTAATAATAATTAAACCAATTGAGTACAAAATAATTATAAAATTAAGAGAGACCAAAACTGTCAGTAATTTGACTATAAAAATATTGTTTTATTCAAAAATGACTTGGGCTATAATAAGATTTAATTAAGAAACCAAATTTTCTCCATATAGTGAAAACTTATTCCATGCAACATTAATTTTATATTTTGGTAAACATTGGATTTCTTAATTAAGATTAATAAGGAACGTATATATTTTAGTCTATTTATACATAAAAGAAATACAAAATTGTAGGAATTGTATTCTTAATTAGAATGTTTAAAATAGAAATTCAATTATTTTCCTAGAAATTGTGGACAAATTTGGTTGTATTAATGAAAATAATTAAAAATATACTTAAAATATATTTTGTATTTTACTTAAGATAAAGAGAATACAAATTTAAAATTAGTGTCAATGTATCCTAATAAAGAACATGAAGAATCATAATACATTTTTAAAACTTAAATCCATCATTTGCAATTCTTGTCTAGTTATTCAGCCCAACATTATATTCAACTGTAAAAACTCTATAAAAATGCCTGTTCCCTTAATTGGATACAGGACATTAAATTACTTTTTACTTACTTTACTTATTAATTAAAGAAAAGTCTTATCATTAAGGTGGTGATTAAAATACCAAAAAATTTCAAATTTTAAAAAATTGGAAAAAAAATCATCAATCCTCTTATTTTGAGAACATTTTTGTTTATTTTATGATTAAATAATTTATACACTCAATTTATAAATTGACATGGAGCTACTTACAAATGGTGACTAGTCAAAATACCTCTTATAAAAATATCTTAAACTAACATTTCCTAAATAAAAATCTCTAGTATTAATCCTCTAATTTTTTTTTTTAAATATTTCATATAATAATTTAGTAAATGCATAATTAAACTCTAATGTGATTAGTTATTATTGCTCATATGATTGTTTTTTGGGTTCTTTGTGGTCTATTTTTTTTACTAAATAATACAATATAATTTATAACAAATACCTAGGTAGGTACATAATTTTTCATTGGTCCTCATAGGAACTTGTTCTGTGTGGCCCATTTCTTTTTAAAGAATAAAATTAAATATATATAAACTATCAATTTGTTATTATAAGAAATATCACTAAAAAAATTAATATTTATATAAATCATAAAAAAAAAAAATTAACTAAAAATAAAAAAATGATATTAATATAAATCAAAATTTTCTTTAAAGAGGTATTTTAACATAGAACTTTTGTAAATGTATTAAAATATATTTTAGTTGACAAAATTATATTTTCCTAAAAATACTGAAAAAATTGCTTATATGCACATCCTCAAATACTGATGATGTTATGTTGATAATTATAATATTGTTTCTTACCTCAGTAATAGGGTATATGAAATTTAGTTCTGAAATAAGTTCCTTTCTTCGACAACTTAGTTGCTTATTCAACACACATAATGTTTCAGATGACTTGGAAACAATAGGTTTTAATTCATTTAAATTATTGATATCGTTGGAAAGTGTTTTATTTAATTCAGTCAGCTTACTATCTACGTAAAAGAGAAAAATAAATTAATAAACTAAATTCGTTAAAGAAAAAAAATTCTAAATTAATATATTCTAGATCAGGGGTCTCCAACCTACGGCCCGCGGGCCAATTCCGGCCCGCCAAGCTAAATAATGTTTTGAAAATAATATATTAATTTTCATTGTTTTTAATTTANAATTATTAGTATATATGTATATATGTAACTAATAATAGATAAACTCGTCAATCACACTTATCTGACTTATATTGTACCCAAAACTTATGCGATGATGGTCAGATAAGATACTTTTTCTGTTGTAATAATAATGCTATCAAACATGTAATCGACGGGTTTTTCTAACTGCGCGAGTCTACTGTAATGTATCGAGTATATAATATAGAATCAGTTATTATAATTATTGCAGTTTAGTGTTGTTTCTTATCGAGTGTAGTGCTCTGTGCTGTATTAAAATAAATTTGAGCTTAAGTAAAAAATGGAAAGTTGATACAGAGTGCCGTGTTTTTAACAAAAAGTGGAATAATGACTATTTCTTCATTGAACAAAACAATGTTGCTTTATGCGTTATTTGCAAGGAAAAGGTTGCTGTTATGAAAGAATACAATATTGGTAGACATTATAAAAGTAAGCACGCATCTACATATAACGAGCTATCTGGTAAACTACAATCAGACAAGTTTGAAATATTAAAACAGAATTTACTTTGTTATTAATTGTCCTGATGAAATCAATTTATTCACCGGTATTAGCTTGTCAACGAATAAAATTGTACCACAGATCTCGGAAATAATATTATTCGTCAATTAAAAGATACTGCTACAAGCTTTAAATATTTTTCAATTGCTTTGGATGAATCTACTAACACTTCAGACTCAGCGAAGGTGTTTTTATTCGTTCGCGGAGTCAATGAATCTTTTGAAATAACCGAAGAATTGGCCGCCGTCCATTCAATGAAAGATTCATGTACTGGTAAAGAAATTTTTTTGAAGGTAAAAGAATCTATTTTTGTTTTAGGTCTTGATTTTAACATTTTAAAAGGCGTAACTACTGGACGCAACATGTGTGGAGCACATACAGGTTCGGTTGGAAATGTTAATAAAGCTGTATTGGAGACTGGTACTGCAGCACCAATGACTATTCACTGCATTATACACCAGCAAGCTTTGTGTGGGAAAAATGCACCAATATCTGAAGTTATGAATATTGTTGTGCAGAATGTAAATTATATTCGAAAAAAGTGATCTCAGTCACCATCAGTTTAAGAACTTTCTTGCCGAAATTGAAAGCGAATACCCAGATATTCCCTATCATTGTGAAGTTTGTTGGCTCAGCCGAGGTTGAAAAGATTTTTTTATCTTCCTTCAGAAATCGACATATTTATGACAGAAAAATACCGCGTTGTAACTAAGTTAGCTGATTTGTCATGGCTATGGGAACTAGCTTTTCTCATTGATATAACTCAGCTCCTTAATGAGTTGAATTTAAAACTGCAAGGAGCAAACTCGTTAATTTCAGATACATATTCCTACATCAAAGCGTTTAAATTAAAATTAACTCTATTTACAAATCAATTAATAGGAAAAATCTTACCCATTTTCCAACATGCAACAAATTCAAACTTGAAAATGATGAAGAATTCCCTACCGATTTTGCTGTTAGAGTTCTCACCTACTTGAATGAGCAGTTCCAGATGGGGTTTAGATATTTTGAAAGTGCAGAAGACTGTATTCAAATTTTTGAAAATCCTTTTGCCATAAAAATAGAAACTTTACCGACAGAGCTCCAGCTTGAAGTTATCTAGCTCATACTAAATAACAATTTCAAAGACTATTTCAAGGAATCCAGTCTCCAATAATTTTATGCCATGTTGCCAGAGGAATCATTTCCAAATCTCAAAAAACATGCGCGTGAAATGATGTCAATATTTAGCTCAACATACTTATGTGAGCATTTCAAAAATGAAATACGTCAAATCTAAGTACAGAACTAACTTAAGTGACGAACATTTACAAGCTACACTGCTAATTGGAACCACGAAGTTTGATGCAAACTATCAAGACATTTTAAAAAACAAGCAGTTCCAAACGTCTCACTAAGTAACTTACTCGTATCATAATAAAACAAATTTTGAATTATAAAATAAAAAAATTATATAAATAAACATACATTTTTTTAAATAAATCTCATCTATTCTTATTTATTTCTCAATTTCATAACCTATCAGCTATTCCTAGAATCCTGTATAGACAACAATTTTTTTTTTTTTTAGACAACACATTTCTAAAAATGTTGGCCCGCGATGCCAAAGCGTATATTAAATTTGGTCCGCCGTAAAAACAGGTTGGAGACCCCTGTTCTAGATAGTCAATAATTTATTATAATATTATTTACTTACTTAGTACAGTATTTTGTTCATAAAGTGTCTTACTCAATTCAGTTTTATAACGAATGGTTGCAATTTTACGAGCTTTTTCTTGAGACAGCAACAACACCCTGCTTTTAAGTAATTCTATTTCTTTTTTCTTTTCCAAGATACTCTGACGTGATGGTTTTGGAAAACTTTCTTTGCTCATGAGTTTACGTATAGTAGCGCTTTGATGTGTTGCTGAATTTTCATTCCAATCTATTTCACCTTGGGATATTTTGTCTTTTAATAAATTGGCTGCTTCTCTCTTTTTGCTAGTTAACCGTTGAATATTATGCATTCTTAAAGAAAATTACAATATACATATAAGAATTATTATTATTATTTTTTTTTTGTTAATACCCCAATAGCTGTTGAAGTGTACCACTTGTTCTAACATCTTTAGCGGGTAATGTAAGATCAGTTATACGTGCTAATGTCGGCTGATCTTCAGAAAGACAATGTGATGTGGTAAAATATCCTCCAGTCATACAAAAAACTAAAGAATTGGTGTGAAACATATTTGATGTTAACCGCGTTGGCGGTATATACAACAAACCACTCAATTCGATAGCCCAAACAAATAAAATATTTGTCTGATTGTTTGCTGTTTTCCATAAACGTATTACAACAGCTGAAAAATGTATTGATAATAATTAGATAATATAAGTTTTTGTTAATTAGGTTGATTGAATAGTTTTCATATTTTCAAACAAAAAAAACCATAATAAAAATACCATAAATATTTAACTGTTCTTAAAACAATGACATTTTATTATGTAAAAATATTGTTTTAAAATGAATACTATTTATTTTTAAAATTATATACTTTCACAAATATGTAAAAATAAATATAATTAATGTAAGAAATAAAAATGATCATTACATACTTTTAGCAGACCCAATGGAGCTAGAAATATTTACTTTTGCCCATTTTGGATTACGATCACAAATTTTCTCACTCGTATATAATGGCGCGCACATTGTAGTCAAATGTAATGTGTAATAGAATAAAGTCTTATATTTTGAATCAGATTGCAGATTAAATCCCAAAATTTGTATTAAATTTCGAAGTCTTTGCTGTAAATTGTTTCGAAACAAATCAAAACAAAAAGTACAAAATTAAAATGTTATATTTTCTTATATGTAGTTTTAGGTACATACTTGTTGTGTAGCAAAAGGAACCCATTCTTGGGAACGAAGTGACTCAGATTTTGACATAATATTTTGCATTCCAATGTCTACTGTAATTCATACCTACAATTGAAAACAAATAGATTATTTCAATAAATAATATCAATATATTATGTATTATGACGAATAACTATTTACTTTTTTTTTTATTGAAATACGATTAATATGAATAAAAAAATAATTGAAATACTTTTTAATTTAAAACGATACTAAAAACTACTTATAAACACAGTAGGTATAGGTCATTTTAGGTGGTTTTGTAATATTTAATTAAATACGCCCATAGAATTATTGTTAAAAAGATAAATTCACTTTTGATAAATGATCTATTCAAACTCGCCTTCTTTTGTCCACTTAATCATTGAATTTTTATGTAAATGTTGTTTTTTTTATTCAGTGGCAGGCTTTGCAAATATTGAAATAAATATTGTTTTTGAAAACTTAATCGAAGGACGTACAAGAAAAACAATAATATGAATTTATTAAATCTTAAGAATATCACAACATATTTTAATGAACTATGTAAAAAATAAAAATACAAAATACAGAAGTTACGAATGATAACAAGTATCAATAATGATAACAGATGGTGTTCTTGAGGTCTATGGTTTAAGTATGAACTTGGCCTCCAGCGGCTTTAACATTATTGGTTTTGTTTTATTTACAACCGGTTTCGATTAAATAAATGAGATAATACTACTAATGTTAAAATTAAATAATAAGATATTATATCTTCATATATAGTATAGGTAGTGTATTATCCAAATTCATAACTAGTATCAATATTTGATTTAGCCATATATTTGTATATTTATTTACGTTTTGTTCAGTTTTATTTTGTTGTATTTAATGTACCTAAATCCAAATACCAAGTTAACTATGATTTATAGTATTTGATACCAATATTTTAGACATAAATAATAAAGACATTTTTTTTTTTGTTATCCATTATCTTAAATATGATATGTTTATTGATGATATTAATATGATATAATATCATCATAAAAAAACCAAATTAATCAAATTTAAATTAGCAACCAGTAGGTACCTATGATTGTTTTTGTTAAAATTGTAGCTTTATTATTTTAAATGGTTAATAAATCAGTTGATAACTATTGAATTTCAGTTAAGTAGTTTGTTTAGCATATATTCCTTTATTATTTTGTTTTGTCCACATTTATATACATTTTAAAGTTCCTATAAATTATCAAATGTACATTAAGATAAACTATTTATTGAAAATTTGTTTAAAAAAGTAAGTAAAACTACAATTTTTAATATTTATAATTGTGTTGGTAGGTGCATGAATGATCAAAGTTAAAACAAAAAACAGTTTAGGTACAAGTTTAAATATTTTGTTAGATATTTACTACCGCAATTATTAAAGCAATTTAGGATTGAATAAAATGAATAGTATTGCAAATTTTTATTTCAAATTCAATTGTTTATGCCTTAACAAAATTGAATCATAAATTGATAGGTGTAGATAAATGTTTTTGTATTGACTGATCTACCTATATTATAATTACTAATATAATTATTTTAACATGCATGTTAAAACTATGCAAACGGTTAACACATGCATTTCATTTAGTCTTGCCCCTTAACATTTATAATATTGATTTGTCCAGGTCTTGAATATGCTTAGTTCCGTGATTAAATATGTCCAAATAAAAATTTTCCCTCAACCCTACTACACAATCAACATTCTTTGTCCTCCATTGTCTACAGTCCCACCCAATCAATATTTTCCTTGTCTTTACTGGCCTGTCACCAGCACAAGTTGAATTGACATATTAGCTCTCATATATTTTAAAGTTCCTTTACGTTTTACGATTACTTGCCTATTTATTTCATTCTATACTCCTTTTGCAACTATAATTTGTTCTCCTATGATCTGTCGACTGAATTTTTTTTAAACCAAATTTATATTTTTGTTTCTTTCATTGTACTATTTAATGCTATTGATTATGTTATTTTTAATTTATATTACATATTTTATTTAGTTATTTTACCTTCACTATGTACACATCAATTAATCAAATACCATAGTAGATTCTCGATAATCCACTCGTTATAATAACCATACAATTATAATCATTAATGAAAAAAATGAACTGATTAAGTCGAAATGAACCAATTGGATATTTTATTTGTACTCATCTAAAATAGACGTGTTAAGTGTGTTTATTGTGTAAATCGGTTAGTTATCACAATAACTAACATTAGCGTAATTCAGTATGTATGTATTATTTATGTTTTTTTAAAAATAAATTAAGGCTTTTCAATAGTAAAAATACGTTTTTTCTGTGAACTTCTATTAATCCGATGTTTTCATTAACCTGCCAGTTCTCTAGTCTGATATTTGCTAAATTTATTGAGAGTTTACTGAATACAATTTGTAAGTGATTTCCATTTAATTTTTTTTAAAAAAAATGTAAAATGTGTCCGTAAAAAATTATTAACAGTTGATTGTTTTTAGGTAGACAAAACTGAAATTTGAATTAATATCAAAATTGTCACCAAAATCTGATTTCCACACAACAAAATATTAATTAATATAACATTTATTCAATTGGTAAGGATAGTTAAACGTAAATTATATCTATGATTATTGATTCTATGTTTTTTGATATAACAGAGATAATAAACAATTTTTTTTTATCTAGGTATTTGTTTATTATTGTTACTTATATTTGATATTAAATTAGTTCCTAACTATTTGTTGTAAAGTTAAGATTAATAGCCATATGTATTGATATCCTAAGACAAATTGTAATTTTAGTTAGAAATTGGTAGGTATTCAATTCATTAATTTTACACACTTTGAGATTTTTTTAGTTTTCTTGAGAACAATTTATGTAGTTAGAATAAAATCTTAAATAAATATTGAAAATATTTTGGTATTCATAGATAGATTTTAAGAAAAATATGAGAAATTTGTTAGCCAAAAGCAAAAAGTATTTAGATACTATTTGGGGTTGATTATTATAATAATATGACAAAATGATTGGATTAATAATTACGCAGTTTGTGTGCTTAAACGGTATATAGGGTACACAAAAAATCCATTTGAAATCTATGTTATCTACATTCGACATTTATTTATAATTATAATATTAGTGAAATTGAAGAACTAACTTAAATGTAAATATAATCAGTAGAGATGTTACGAATCCTGATTTTCAAGGTTGAACCAAACCGAATCTAACATTCCTTAAACGAACCCGAACCGAACATACATGTTTTTATTCGACCCGAACCGAATCAAACATTTAAAATATTTTATCGAACTCTAACATTAAAAAAAGTAAAAAGGTTAGGTCAAACATTTTTAAAATTCTAAAACAGTAAAATTATAATACATTATAATTTTAATTGTTGTATTATTATTGATAGGTATCAAATTTGAAATTATAGGTATATTATTAATTATTTTATTAAAAAATGTTAATATATTATGAACTTATAAACTAAACAACAGTAAAACCCAAAGTAATAATATTTTAATAAAATATATTTGTATATTGTCATATAAGAAAACTAATTGTTCAACTGATTGTGGTCACAGTCTTTATAACACTTTTTGGTGCAGAATCGACATCAAATGATTTTCAAACCACACTATTGGATATTAGTTTCTGTTCGATTATTTTCAATTTTCAGGGTGTTCAGTTTTTTAGAGTTCGAAAATCAAACTTTTTTTCACATCTCTAATAATTATTAGAGTTTGAAATTCAATTATTTTAATAAATGAAATATCAAGAATAATTAATATTTAATTATAAGTATAATTATACAATTACCTACATCTAATAAATATATTAATTTAGTTATATATTATAAATTGAAAGTATATTGACATACAATTTTTCTATCCTTTTTGATTTAAAAAACAGATTCTATTAAATATAATAACCCCCATAATAATATTTATGATAACATTGAAAAATTCTGGTAACATAGGCTTAGCTGTAGAAATATTACTAAACATATTAAAATGATTATACTTTTATACATCTAGTAATTTTGATATCAATTACAATATATTCACCAGGAACATAAGTAAGAACTATAAAAAAAGCTCAAATTTTTTTCATTATAAACTATATACAGACTGTCCTACAAAAATAAACCTATTGTAACATCTCTGGAGATAATAAACTTCTGTTTTTTTTTTTTTTTTATATTTCTCAAATGAATAAGGACTACAAGTATTTATATTTCAATGAATTTTTTATGTTTTCATAAAAAAACTTAAAAAAAACTTAATTTTATTATTTAAGAAAAATTTGAAGATTATTAAGCTATTTTATAGTTTATTTCTCTGAAAATTTTTTAAAGTTCTAAGAAAAAAGTACAGTCAATTATTAGCCATAATATTTAATTAGCGAATGCAACTAATTACTTTTCTCTGAATTTTAAAAAATTACTAAAAATTTGTATTGAAATGTCAAAATGTTTAGAAGTTTTATGAACTCTATAAAATGGCTGTCATCAAACTTGTTGAAAATAGTAAAATCAAGTTATTTTTATTTTTTACCAAAATATAAAAATATTTGTATGTATACAGAATTAGTTGTCCTTATTTCTGCGAACAATAAAAAAAAACAGAATTTGATTAGGTACTTAGCTTTATTATCTTAGAAGACATTGCAATGGGTATAATATATTTGTGTACACTCTGTCTATATATATATATGTATATAAAGGTAAAATCTACACAACAATGTAGAATCTATGTAAAAAGTGTATACTTTTTGATAAACCTAACAAAATTTAATACACATAGGTAATGTATATAGATAGAATACACATAGATAAATTTGTATAGGTAGATATATCAAGAGTATACACATGTGTGTTATAATGTTATTAATGGTAATATGTTAAAAAATTATGAATAAACAAACTTCATTAGCTTAAATATTATTTAAATAAAGTAAAGTAAATACCTAGTATTGTTTATAAATACTATAGGTAGCTATAGCATTGTCCTAGATTAAATATGTTAGTAATTTATTAGTAAGCAATTAGTTCCTATGTTAGTAGATTGGTATTAATTATTTATTATTACATTTTTTAGCCTTACCATAAATATAACACCTTAGAGGATTAGGAATTGGTATTCAAAGAAACTACGAACTAATAAATCGCATGGTACATACGTACAATATGTGTAACACAAAGGATAGCTCAGATTTCCGTTACACAATACAATGTATATCAAATACGATATAATCTAAAATTTACAAAATCACGGTAGTACCAACATTGTTCATCATTCTTTCATAGGCGTCATTACAGGGTAGTGAAGGGTAGCTACAGCTACCCCGCCATTTCTATGGAGGTTTCAAATTAGTAGCTACAGTACCCTATAAGGAATTTGTGAAAAAAATATAATTTTATTACTTTTTTTTTTTGATTATTTGATCACATTATATAATTTTGTTATTGGTTATACTGAATTTGAAGAAATAAAATTATCACTCAAATATATTGTTGAATATGCTTGTTACCCCATGATTTTATTTCAAATTACTTCTACGCATTTCTTCATTCCTCTATCTAACATGAGAATAACGCTATTCTTCCATCTATGCGAATGTCTCTTTAATGAAAAAATCGAATGAATAGTCAAAAAAAAAAAGAGCTTATGTGAAAGCAGTAATGACTGCCCAAGATGATTACTAGCGCATTTCGGTAATTTATAAATTGAAATGCTGTATTTTTTTTTTTTTTTGCGATTTTCGTTTAAATTTGATTTCAAAACGCTTATTTTACAAAAGTCGTCCGATAATTTTGAAATTTTCCACTTCTAAGTAAATCCAATATAAGTATTAGTACAAAGTTTCAAGTCTACATGTATTTATAACCGAATTACAGAAAAAAAACTCCCAAAAATTAAAATTCCTTAAAAGTTCTAAAGTTTTGGTGATGATACTATAAGAAAGTAAATCAAAAAAGCAATAAAAAAGGTATCTTGTGATTTTTCGATAAAATCATTTTTTCTAGTAGAAAATGTACATGTTTTTATAAAATAATGAAATCTTAAAATTGTACGTTTTCCCAAGTTTTTTCCCACTTAAGTGTTAAAAAATGGCGTCGAAAATCAAAAAAACGACTTCTCTAAGTACAATCTAGATGGCTTAAGCTTTCATAAAGGTTGCCGTTTGTAAAAATCGAAGTAAGTTTACTAGGAAAAAACGTGTCCACAAACTAGAACAAAGAAAGAAAAAGGATAAAGAAATAAACAGCATTGTAAAACCAATAGCTCCCTCGCCATGGATGGAATCTAAAAGAATTAGGTACACATTTTTTTTTAAATACTATATTGCTGCTTATTAACATTAGTGTAATAACTATGTTGCTAACACTTGGCTAACCAATTAGTGAAATAATTACTTAGATAATTATTTTAAGATATCTGTATGGTATTTTTATCTAAAAATATACTGAGATAGTTTGGGCATGTCAGGGTTGAAAGAGGAATCTGAAACAGTAAGAATTGTACTAAAAATAAATGTAGAAGGAAAACTGAAAAAGTCGTGTTGGATGTAATTGAGCAGTCTCAATATGTGAGGTGGAAGATTGGGTCAAGTAGAAGTTTAGAACTAGGGTGGCTGACCCCAAATAATTGGGATAAAGGCAAAAGAGAAAAAGAATCCCTTTATAGTATTTTTCTGTTGAATATGTTTGTTAAATATAATATCAAAATATCAAAAATAAATGAAAATTATGATTTCTAGTACAAGATTCTTAACCATGGTAGTTACAGTTTTTAATAGCGATAAATTTATGGAAAATATCAGGTAATATCCAAGCAAAAATATAATAAATGTTTAGACATCTATGTTTGCAGTCAGTGTAATGGAAAATATACTTTTAATATAAATACAAAATACTTCGCAAAATGGATAAGCATCATTGTAAAGCAAATACATTCCTCAGTTCACTCAGAATTTAAAATAGTGCAATCATTTTTAAAATAGGACTTATATTTAAGATGGACATTCCTCATGTAGAAAATGGTTGACCTATACAAACATTGATAAGGGGGAGCGTCTCAATTTATTTTAAGTAGCTACCTAATAATATATATAGTTATTTAGTACCTACATAATTCGATATTTTCTGATTAAAAAATTTAAATACAGTAGGCTTCAAAAAACATTGATAAGAAATCTACAACTTGATAAGTATTAGAGTTTTGGCTAAATTACGGCTTGGTTGTTTTATTTTCGACATTTTTATAATCCCCCCTCCAAATAATAAACTAATCATTTGTTTCATTATTATTATTATAAATACTAGAGTTTTACAACAATTTGCTACCGGTATAATTTATCTAATTTAAAAATATAGTACCTATTGGTATAGAAATTGGAGCAAATGTTTATAATTTTTCCAAATATTATAATTTTACTATAATCTAGATTTCTTTCAAGAAAATTATATACACTATTATATGTATTAGCAAATATTATTATAATTTCAGGGCTGGAAATCGTTTTTAATTAATTTATGTTTATTAATGTAAAAATTATATTTTCCAATAGATAATAACCATGGGTCACCTTTAGAGTATTGAGTCATATAGTGAGAAGATTTCCTATACTTCAATGAGTACAATAAGTTAACTAGCAAATGGTGTCTATTTTACAGTACCATTATCTTAGGGGAAACAAATATTGTACAGTTACGATTTATTATCTTACATGTACTGTAATATATTACTTCAAGTGCGGGGTTAGAATAGTGACCACTACTCAAAATTAAAAATTAAATATCTCGTCAACGAGTCAACGGAAATCAAAAATTGAAACACCAAAATGTATATAAACTAATACTCCATCTATTTAATATAAGTTCGTATTTAAAAATTGATACTAGGAAGGTAGCTTCACTCCCAAAAATAAGGGTAATAAAAACTACCCCGGGACCAAGTGTCCTATTGCTGATAATTCTTAGTGACCAAAGGGGATGGAACAGCAGGGACAAAATGTCCTAAATCTAGTGATAACAGATATGTTATAATTCTGATTTGCTTTGTCATTTAAAGTAAATAAGTACATTTAAAGTGAATAAGTACATTTAAAATTGTACTTGAATTTTTGTGTATATTACAATTTTTTGTTCAACATTTTAAACATACTGAATTAATTATATTATATGTGAAAGATCAGCTACTTAGAATTCTAAACTCATTAACATAACTTTTCACAAGTAATACAAAATAATACTATCTTCTAGAAAAATGAGAAATATAATTTTTATGTTATTTCAGATTTCTCACTAAGGATAATATTAGAGATAAATGACTCAATTTCTTGAGTCAATTTCTTACTTAAATTAATTCTTAAATAGATAAGTATAACTATAATGCTTTTATATTATCTTAGACAAAAAAAGTGTTTTGATGACAAAATTTCCAGCAGCCCATTTAGTAGGCATTCAAAACTTCAAATATTTTAAACTGCGAAAATTATTAGTTTAGGTTAGTATTTACTATTTCATTAAGTACAACAAATCATTAATAATATTGTAATAGTATTTTTAAAATTATTTATAATAATTTGGAGCTTGTAACTTTCAGTTGTCTAGCAGCAATATTGTTGAAATGGATGGATTGTTCCTTTTAGATGACCCAATTGTGATTCTAACTTCAAGTAGTTTTATTAGTAGATTTTATACTGAGATTTCTAAATCTACTAATAATGCTTTGGTAATGTTAACAAAATGTATTAAAATATAATTTGTCATTATCTTCTTTTAGTTGTGCTTATTAAATAGTGTTTTTAGTTATCTTTGGATGAATCAGTTGCTTCTACGTTTGTAGCCATCAGTGAAGTATCTAAAGATGACACACTATGTGAGCTTGCAAACTCAATCTGCAGAGATAACAATAAAAAGCAAATCTTTGAGTAGTTTCTGAAAAAACTGGTAAAGAGACAGAAAAAATTAATAACATCATTGGAGTTGATCATTAATGATCTTAAAAACAAAACTTCATTGATGAAAACAATGGTAATTCATTATTTGAGTATTTTGATAAATACCAAGACCTTATAGCTAATTAGAGCTAAAAAAATGTGGGCCAATCAGTTAAAAAAAAATTAGTCTAACTGTTACACAGTTTTCTTTGATCCTTTATTTTTTTAAATTAAAGTTTATGAATATGTACTAAATTAGTTTAATATAATCTTATCACATGTCCACATACTTCATTGAAGGTATAGACTGGTTAATGCTAAGCTAGAATTTACAGACAAATTACTGAAAGTAAAAATTCATCTCACACTTTATTGCTTTGATTATAGATAAAATGGCTATATGACAACATTTAGAATATGATAGGAGTAATTATTATTTTGGAATGATAATGAATAAGCTAATGTAGCTTGGAAATAGTAAAATTATGTATGGTTTTTTTTAGTAGTCTTGGAAAAAGGAAGTTTTTTTACAATTATATTCTTCTTCTACTGATTTAGATAAATTGGAAAGCATAAATATGAATAATTTAATCAGGATCTTATATTGAAATTTGTTGGCGAGATTCCACAACAAGGTGGATGCAATAACAGTCCTACTGTTAGATAATTTTGTTCTGCTTATCGCAAACTAGTTATTCAAATAAATAATATCAACATTTTAACACTGAAAACAGTATAAAACATTTACTCTATTTTAGTTCTGATTTCATTTCCAATATTGAATAATAATTTTCCATGTTTTAATGAAGATGTAAATGTTCAAGAAGACAATTTAAAAAATATTGATTCCATAATGGATTACAAACTACCACCACATTGGAGTTCATAGTAATTATTCTTTAAAAAATTTCGCAAAGGAGATAATTACTTTTATACTTTTATCTGATTTTGTAGTTAATAAATTAAATAATTCCTTAAAATGTGATATTTACAAAGATTCGGTGTGTACTATCCATAGAGATTATTTTCCGAATTCTCTTATATCTTTGAAAACTGAAGGGGGTGATAATGATGGAATGATTTATTTCAGTGATGACATCATTAATGTTTGCATCATACCAAAAAAAAAAAAAAAAAAAAATGAGACGTTTTGAATGCACAAATAAAGCTGTGAATAAACTTAAATTACAATCCTAAGATCTAAGTAATTTTCAAGGTCATTTTTTTACATAACTCAAATATTTGAAATCATTAAAATCTCATATCAGTGAAACCAGAATTAAATTTATATCTCCATCATACTTCACTATTAATTAAATCAAAAATTAAAATGATGAATTATTAAGTTAACATATTACATAATTCATTTTCAATAAAATATAAAATTTACTTCTCTTTTTGTCATCATATTGTTCATCAATAGGTTATCAGTTTTGCTAGTATGGTATTATAATAACAGTAGGAACTGCAACTCCTACTACTTTTAATGTTGTAATATTTATAAAAAAAGTAACCAAAAACTTTATATCTAAGTTAAAAAATAGTATTATTATTTTTATTATTATTATTTAATACATTTATTAAATAATAATAATTATTATTAAATACAGTTATTTTTCAGAAATATAAATGTGACTGTAAGGGTATATTAATAATCATTGAATACTTGTAGCTATTGACAAAATGGAAATTTGTAATAAAAAGCAACTAACCAAACAGATTCAGATACCTACTATGGAGGATTAGCTTTTATTTTATAATTGTTGCAAGTTAAAAAATGACAAAATGTGTAGGTACCAGAAAATCAGTACTAAGTGTATATTCTAAATTATTTTAATGTTTTTGTAAAAGCTTGTATTAATATTATTTATGTTAGAATGGATAACTGAAACAAATTGTGTGGAATAAAGATTAAGAAAAAATACACAAACTGTGTAAATTTTAAGGTGTTTTAACAACTTCAAAAATGTGTTGAAAAAACTTTAACTTAAAAGACACCAACTTATTTATGTAATACAATTAAACTATATCTACCACAAGATACAATAATATTAAATTATGATTCTAGTGAGAACCTCCAGAGAAATATTCACTCCACAGATAATACTAGCAATATAACAAGAAGCCGATCTGCTTTAAATGTGCCTAATTTGTTGGTTGAAAGGGAAATAGTGTGGTACTCACAGAAATACATGGTAACTAAATCGTAAAACACAATTTTGTTTTGTATGCTTTTATAGTTTGATAAATTTTAAGCCTGAGAAGTGTATTGGTTTTAAAATGATTATTATTTTTTTTTTTGTGAATAACTTATCTACCAGACATTTTGCTCCAATATTCAAGTGTAGCACTTTTTCAGGAAACAAATTTGACTGGGATGGTACTTTAAGGGGGGGTTATTTTTTGATTTTTTGATATGAGCAGAGGTTTTCATAATAAATGGGATAAACCTGTGTTTCAATTGTTTATCAAAATTAATTTTTTTTTTTTCAGAAATCTATTAGGTATTTATTTTATTTCACAATAAACTTAAGACTATGTTAATATTATTTTTTTTTTCTAGTATTAATTTTAAGTATAAAGAATGTGTGAGGGCACTTATGAAGTTAACAATAGGTACCTAACATTAATAGGCTATATTTTCCATTCTGTTGTACAGTTAATACTTTTTTTAATGTCAAATTATTCATCACACATACTGGCTATAAATATAATTTTATCTGATAGGTAATATTTAATTATTTCATATAGAATTATGACTATCATTTATAGTTTTCGTTAATGTGACTTTAGGAGGTTTTGCTATTATATTTACTGGACAACTTTTGGTATATTTCAATTTTGTTTGATTTGTATTTGTATTCTCCACAGGTGTAGTATCGGGAGGAAATACAATATCTTGCATCAACCTTTGACCATTTACTCCTAATTCATCTATTACTGCAGTTTCATCGGCATCATCATTAATGTTGTTTTGGTCATTTGCAATATTATGCCTGTATACATAGGGCATTCTGTTATTTTTATCCTTAAGGTTACCAGTCTTTGACAATTTAATAGTTATCTTGTTGAATATTTAAATCAGTATATTTTATTTTAACTCAATAAATGAATCATACTAAAATAAATATTTTATTATTTTTATAAAGCTAATAATTGTGTTACTTTAGAAATAAAATTTTCATTTATATAAATCAATATTATGAATTCATTATTGTCATATGACCAATGTAATAACAATAAATATTCTAGTATTTGGCATACAAAAACCATTTATAAAATTAATATTCTAGTCTTTGGTACTTTTTAAATTACCTATTCAAATTAACTATATCATGTTAAAGATAATGATTTTAACATATTGATAAATACTTGTACAATTTTAACTTTGTGGTTCCTAATGTATATAATTTGTTGGATAGATTGTTCAAGAATATTGAATTGCCAAAAACTTGTACCAATACTTTAGCTGCACTATTTTCAGACATTAAAATAATATTGTTATAAAAGTACCGGTGTAGAGATGTTATCCTCAGTATACAAAGAGTCTCATAGTAATCAGTGATATGTAAGTAACACTGGCGTACACAAGCCACAACAGAATAACATATGATCATTTTAAAAACATATTCAAATGCCAGCATATATGCTTGATTCATTGTATAGTTTGATGACAAATAACCATTGATCTACAAAAAAAATCACAATTCAAAATATTATTTTCATAAATTAAATAGAGTGTAATGATTAATGAGCACATGTTGTGTTTTATTACTAGAGGAGAAATTAATTAAGTAAAAGTATATTATTTTATACGTACCATTGTAATGATAACGATGGTGTAAATATTGAGGTATTGCAAAAATCCTTGTGTCCAACATTGTACTCCACTCCATACCAATATTAAAGTAAGTGACTTCTTTAAACGAGTATATGTGGATTTATGTTAATAATAAAAAGTAGAGTTGTGAAAAGTATTAGAGTAAAAAAATTGATATTAAAAAGAATTGACACTGCTCATGATGGGTATGTTAATTTTTTGGGTGACAGGGATTGGAATCAATCTTTTGCTAATTTTTAATTTTTATTGAATTTTTTAATGAATTTCAAACTTGAACTATATAAAAAAAAAATGTGATATTACCTACCCTCAACTTTTTTTTTTACCAGTAGATAGCGAGCCTTGTATCAAATTTCTGAAAGATTTAATCAAGTCAAAATAATTTTATCCACATAAATCATCAAATAACAAAAAATAAAACCAAATATTTTGAAAATTATAGGTAAGTACCCATCACGTTTAGAACATACTATTTTAGTGTAGTTCTCGGTGTAAAGTTACCACAGTAATAATTATTATCCAACTAAATACAGCAAGATTTTGACATGAATTGGTGTTTCGAATTGCATTTTCATAGCTTATTTTTTCTAACGTAAAAAAAAAAATACTATGAATTTCAAAACAATGATATTCCTAAGCACATCTATAGAAGAAATTTAATGTCTACCATAAACCACACTGCCATATTATTATGATGATTTTGATTGCAGCATGTCTACTGCAGATCGAATTCTGATTTACAAACAAGAAACATACAAATTAGATAGGTACTTAATGACTACACACTAACTAAACTACGCATTGTGAATCAAAACAGTTTTTGGTATAAATCTTGTTTACTGCACACCTTTTTTTTCCATCGAAATACGTGTTTTTGTATGCTAAATCTAATCATGTTTTAATACATTTGCGGTAACACCAGTTTATAGAAGTTTTTTTAAAAAACTTCGAATTTTCAAAAGTAGGTAGGTAGATACGTAATTTTAAATACGTCCTGCCAGACATTCGGTGACTGGACATCCTTTTCTCTCGAAATTTTTTTTCTAAAATAGGAACCGAAATATTCAAATTATCATACATTTGACACGGGAAGTCCCCTGTACTCATAATATTTTGTTCCGCGTATTATGTATAGTAACATACGTAAGTACTTACAGTTGTCAAATCGCTTTTTAAGCTTTTAAAATAATAGTTAGCTACTGAAAAATTATGATTGCTTAGTTACAGTAATGTATTTGGGATTTTAGAGTTAGAGGGGGGCAGCTTTCAATAAATACTTGAAAATTGAAAAAAAAAATTGCAACACTGTTTTTGAGAGATGAGAATTCGGTTATAGATAAAACTTACAAGTTAAGTATCAATTTGTTTATTTGATTAACAGAAAAAAAAATCGTTTACACTCTAGTTATCAGTGCTATACCTAGCAAAATCGGCACCCGGTGCCAGAAAAATTTACTGAGCAAAAAAAAAAGGCTCAACCTGTTTTTTTGGCCTGAAAATATTCAATTACAGAACTTCAAAAATTCACAATGGTACCCCTGTAGTAATAGTGGCCGGTGCGTGAGCATCTATTGCACCCCCTAGGCACGGCCCTGTTTGTTTTTACTCTCATTATTATAACTCTAAGACTCTAGTAAAAATTTTACGATTTTACAAAGATAATATTATAATAACGGATAGCCATCTATAAAGAATAAATACTATTATCTATGAAGCTTTCAACTTTCTCTTTGTTGGAAATCTCTATTAATTATTTTAATATTAACTCTATTCCATCTAAATCATTTGAATATTTCATTGCTAAATCAGATGCATATTTTTTTTTAAAATCGTCTGATTGATGGTAGTTATTATTGTTTATTATAGCTGTTCATGCCTGTACGGCTATATGTTACATACACGCAAAAATAAAATATTATCGTTATGGTAATTTAAATGTATCTAAAAGTAGTAAACACTAATAAATAAACATCATCGGGTCGCAATCCAGTGGGTATGTCAGTTTTGTACATTACACATTTTTTTATATTTGATTTTAATAAAACTTTAAATAATTTATGAGAAAAATAAATTTTATACGAAAAAACCAATTTTAATTTAACTTAAATACGTCCCCTTACTTTGCTGCGTCCTTGGCAACCATTCGTTTTGGCACTCTAGTTAAGGCACTGGCTAACATGTAATTAATAAATCTTTATTAGTCAAACAATTATTTTTTTCTATAGTTGTGGAAAGACTTATCTCTATGTAACTTTACTTCATTTCTTCCGTGACAAAAATGATATTATTAAATTACCGGACAACTGTGATACGGATAAATGTGATCTCGGTAAATACTAGATAATTCAAGATTTATTTATTATTTGTGTTTAGGTGACAGTTATTAATAGAATATATATTTATTTTACTTTTATATTTCTATTTTATTCATGCCGAAAGTGAATTAATTTAGTAAGTATTGCTCGTTTTCTGTTCTTGTGTAAATTACGCTATTGCCTGAGCATTATCTTTAGTAGTAAAAAGAACACGTTTATAAAAAAAAAAAATGATAAAATGGACTTTTGAAAAATTCGAAGCTTTTTTTTTCAGAACTTCTCTAACAATGGTTTCTGCAAAAAAATTTAATATTTTTTAATTTAGCATACAAAAACTAATAATAATAACTTATTAACTTTACTTGATACATTTTTTTTTAGGGAAATTGATTCGAGTGTTCGGTAAAGTAAGATTTATTCTCAATTGTTTTTATGAACAAATATGTCTTAAATAATGCATTTTGTCGGAAAATTTTGATCTCTACTACGTACCGACAGTTATAATATACTTGCTTACCCTATATACGATATACTTGCGGTGACAACTATGTGTGTGCTTACCTGGAGCAAATATCGCCACGTTTCGTTGTTCGGAAAATTGGGGGCGTCTTGCTGAATGTTTGGTAGCATCAGCGTCTTTATGTAAGTGTCCGACAGATGCCAAAAGTACGTGAAAAATAAAATGGACGGCAACAGAGTGATTACCGCTGGACCGTTATCCAATTTTGTGACAATGTCCATTTGTACCTATGTCGTATTGTAGTTTAGGTTTATCGATTTATTCGGTCGGCGTGTAGGAACGGCTATTTGTATATAAATTTTGTACCATAAGTTTTTGTGTTTGGATTTATACAGGTATAGATAGGTATCTATATCAAAAAGGATTTCATTTAGGCCAGATCATATAATTTATGTTGATAATGTCATAGTGATTCTTTTATTTCGATACAGCGATTATTCGTATTCGAAAATTGTAAGTAATTATTCGATACAATCGTTATAATATAATAAGCAATTTTAATCTTATTTGAATTATTTTTAACATTTCGATGGTTAAAATACTATTTGGCGTAAGTGACAAAAATTAAAATTAATCAATGATTTTGACATTTTTCAAAATTTAAGCTGTTTTAACTAATGGGGTTTTAACAAGGTTTTTTTCCATAGATCAATATCACGTTATTTGTTGAGAACAACATTGTTAAAAAAGGTTTAGGAGAAAAGTAATACCGTAAGACAGAGATAAGCGAGTCTTCAATAGTTTTAGTAAAAGCACCGTTGCCAGTGACTTGGTGGGGTTTAAAGATGAAGGCGAGAGCAAAATAGCTCAGCTTTTTCTTCATCTGATTTGCACCATATACCTTCGGTGTTTCTTAGAGGAGCAGGGATGAGCTTTTATTTTAAGCAATTGTGAGTGGCTTTCCAGAAATAATTATCTTTTGTTGTTAGGGATGAAATTCAGTCATTAAAGGATAATTCATTTCGTAGGAAGTAAAAGCGTTTTTAAGTGTCAAAGGAAGGTTAATGTAATTACGTTTGTCGGATGGAAGTCTTGTGCGTTACCATCGGGCTCTGGCTTGCCTCTTCTAGGTTATTAATTGACGAACATACAGGAATAGATTAATTATTTGTGACCGGATAGTTGAGTTCCATACGGCGGACTAAATAGTTTTAGTGATATAAAGTACGGTGTCCTTAATATCACTTAGAGATTTCAGGCTTGTATTTAATTTAGTTCTCTGGTCAATAATATAGATATTGCAATATTTTTCTCAATTCATTACACCATATTTTATTAGTGACGGTTGACTAGATTGAAAATAGGGCAAAGCATCCGTGGATAAGAAGACAAGGAAATGATTAGAAAATGAGTTCCACAAGTTTTTTTTATTAAGGGGCTTGCACATAGTTATTAATTAAGGAGTAAAATTTAGGCAATTTCTGTTCAAGTCGACGGTAGCTGGGATCTATGTGTTAGTCGTAGACGATTATTAGTGTGAGTATGCTTCTATGCGTGTACTGCCACAGCGACTCCACCATCTTCCCCGTCAATGTAAATAGGTTTACTGTTTATTTTTGCACAAAGTAGATTAAAATTCACTGCCGCCTTTTCTGCCGTAAATCTATCGTCGCGTGCCTCATCGTTATCGCAAATTTATTCATAGCAAGATTATAATATAATATTATTATAGTTATCCGTTCGTCCCTCGAACGAAATGACGACTTTTTGGTTTGCTCAAACGGAAATTCAGTTGATACATTTTTATAAAAATGCTAAAATGCTATTTACTAACTGAAATAGTGCAATCCAAAATAATAACATAAAATGTATCAATTAATTTTAATACAAATTATTTTACCTGTTTCACTCATTATTATTTATTTATATTTTTGGTAAGTACAATTATTTCATTTTTTAAATTTGGAACGTATCTAGCAAGGAACCTATTGGTTTTACTATGATGTATGTACCTATATTTTTTTTATATTTTGTGTCTGTATTTTCTACCAGAAAAAACTTGCTCCGAAGTATAAACTATAGCACCTTTTCTGAAAGGTAATTTTCTTTCATTGGGGAGGTCATTTTTGATTTTTCAAGGAGTTTTTCAAAATAATTGGAAAAACCCGAAAGTTGAAGCAAAACTATAGGTAAAACGGCATATATATACAACGTGCCGTGGCGTTACCGTTTTCATTGTTTTTATTATGTTAATACGATGTTTTCTACCAGAAATATTAGATTTCCCTTTAGGCATTAGGGTTGGTTGTATAGCAGCCCCATGATTGGTATTTGGCATTCAGGTCACCACCTACTAAAAAATATTCACGATGAAGTTAAAGAAGTTTTCAAATTGTGTTTGCGTTATTATGTGTCTAGGTGGGCAATGTTGTTACCACAGTTTTTTTACACGTGATTTGATATTTATGACTGCTATTTGAAGGAAGTCTTCGTTTATACTGGAAAACAGGACAAGCCCAATGTGACAACAAAATAGGCTACCGCCTAGAGCGGTAATAGTTTAGAGGCGGCACATTTCGAATGTATCAAATTGATTTAATTATTATGTTACTTAGTATACTAAAATTTAGTGGTAGCGTCAGAATTTTTTTATATAGGAGGCCCAAGCTGAGACCAATGATTAATAATAAGGGCGAATGAGAATTACCTTACCTATTTCGCCTATTATGTGATTACAATTGCAGTTAAAAAAAAAATTAACAAAAACAATAGCACGATGGGTGGGCCTATAGAAGAAAATGCATAAACCAAAGACGTGAGAGACTACGCCCACCACAATTCTTCATAAATAATTCTGAACGAATTTTTAATTTAATATTCAATGTAAACTATAGTCTATAAATAAAATATTACCGCAATCGCGGGTTAAAGTATGGCTTTTGGGTCTGAGAAAAAAATGTTAAAATATTGGTAAACGTCTTGTATTTTTTTTTGTTTGTATGCCGTCCTAGAAAAATCTCCATTGATCAGATTTTCGATTTTTCTACTTTCCGACGATTTTCATGAATATCGTGCATTTTTTATTTTATATTTTGTAAGGAATTTATAAATTTGGTGGTCCTAAGAAGAGTGGCTTTAATAGGGTTGTTCTTGAAAAAAACAATTATCAATTTGACATATTTATTTTATCGGTTTGTAATTAATATTCAATTTTTAGTTATAGGTATCTACACATTTTATATAATTGTCATAATGCAATCATTAAATTGGTCTACCAAATAACATAATAAATAGTTAATAGTAAATAAATTCTCTATTATGATTTTAAAAAATTAATACGTGAACACTGAATGTTAAACATTGACCATTAATCGTTCAACATCGAACGATTGGTTAATGAATGTTGATTGATAATATTAATTTAATGTATTCTTTCTATAATAAATGAAAACAATTGAAAAAATTAAAAAAGATCTTAAGAAAAAAATTAAACTTAAAATAAATCTAATAAAATACGAAAAACAGTACATATTGAAGAGAAAAAAATCTTTAAAGAGAACCAACAGAAGCAGAGATTAATGAAACAATTAGTTTTGAAAAAAATTGCGAAAAATATATAAAAATGAAGCAGAGAAAAAAAAAATGAAATAGAAAAATAAAAGATTTTTGAACCTATTACCCCAAAGGATTAAAACATCTTGAAGAAGCTGTTAGAAAAACCGATAATGATATTAAATTATTTTTAGTTCCTGTGAAATCATTAACTCAAACATCAAATTTCATTACCATGCAACAAAAAATTATTAGAGACAGAGACTTAGAGATAGAAAATATTTCTGGATATTCTTCAGTATCTCTAGGAGTAATCGCAAGCGATTATATCCATGTATCAGATGATGATGTATTTGGGTTATATTTCAATAAAGCTAAAAATCAACGATTTTTGATTGGTAATGTTAATATGTCTTTTAAAGGTGATGATATTATTTTATGTTTTAAAGGTAACGATCCTATACTACAAAATAAGAAAATTACAGGTACAAGAGGTTTATGGGCATCGTTAACAAATAAAAATTTAAGGATTAAACCAGTGTACTCCTGAATCATGACGATATTAATATATATAAACAAGTATTAAATTTAACAGATTCAATATACGAGAAATGTAGAATAATTTTTAAAATAAAACCATTTTTCATAAGCAGTATCGTTATTTAATAGCCAGACCTCGTATCAAAATAATGACAGAAAAACAAGAAAACTAAAATCAAATCAAGGCGAAAAATGTAAGAGTTTGATTTCATCTTTCTGGGATGAAAAGAAAAAGAAAAAAAACACTAGCTGTACATAAAGGATTTGGTTCAATAAATTATACAGAAAACCCAATACAATATAAATACATTGATATACCACAAAGTGGTATAGAATATTTAATTTATTTTATAGCAAGTTTACCAAAGAAAGTGATCAGAGGATCTGGATTTAATAATTTTTTAAATAACAAATTTATGCCTGAAATGCATTGGCCTAGTCATAATAATCTTGGGCCTTTTACAAAATCTAAGAAACCAATAAATAAATTAGTTGAAGCTGTAATGGAGCATGATTTTTACTATGAAAAACATAAAGATACTAAATCTAGACATAAAGCTGATTTAATTTTAGAAAATAAAGCAAGGTGGAAAAATCCAGAAACATCTTTAGGTGAAAAACAACTGATTTTGCAATTACAAATATAGTGAAAGTAAAAAGAAAATTAGGAATAGGTATTATTTAAAAAAAATATATATTTTATTTAATAAATTATTCCTAATTTAAATGATGTACAATTGAAAAAAATGAAATCTGCAGACAATAAAAAAGTAAGTGTACCAATTCAGTTAACAAACAAACAAATTGGAATAGGAAAATAATATGCTTAACTTAACTTAAACTCAAAAAAATTAATTTAATCTAAGAAAGAAAAAAAAGGATTGAGACTAGAATTGAAATTTGAACAAATTAAACATGATGGAATTTTTCCATTCCTTTTTGCTGTAATAGGAGCTGCAAATGCTTTAGCTGGGTGAGTAAATGCAATTGCAAATACTATTATTGAAGGAAAATATAAGAGGATAGTGGAAAAGGAAAAAGAACGACATATTTCGGAAATGGAAAAAATTTTTATTCATACTAAAATTTTACAAATTGGATCTGACATTAAAAAAAAGAAAAATATATCCCGGTAATCCTGTTACAAAAAAAGAAAACCACTTCATTAAATACTTTTAATATCATGAAGGCTGGTAAAAAAATTAAACATTTTAAAGGATGTTCTATGATAGATGAATTACCTACAGAACCTTTAAGGAATGAATTTAAATTTAGATTTAAATAATTCTAATCAAAGAGGATAACATTGAGTTACTTGGATAAAACAAGAAAATTTAAACATTTATTTTGATTCTTATGGTGATGTTAATCCTGAAGGGTGAAAGTATCATAACTTTGGAAGGTGATGATAGTTTTCTCAAAATTAAATGTGCAAAATATAATATTAGTGGAAAGTATTTAAAAAATAATAATATTGAGTATGATGCTAACAATAATGTGCATTTTTGTTCTCTCAAATTAAAGTAATAAAAAATGGTTTATTAATAGATCAAATTGAGAATGTTGGTAGAGCAAGCATAATCAAAGGATGTGTTAGTTTTTCTTTAGATCAAAATGGTCCAACAATTAATCCAGGATTTCAATTAAGATTTATAGGGGAGGTAGATTTCAAGCTGTTGGAAACTTATCTAATCTCGATTTGGGGTTTTTTTAAAGATATTCAATAACCAATTTTCAAAGGAGGAATTGAAATAAATTTTAAGACAGCTAAAGACAATGATTCATTGTATAGGCCATCTTCAGGTACTACAACACCTGCAGTTGGAAAAGTTATTATTGAGGATTTTAAGATTATGATTCCATCAGTGGAATATAAAGAGATGTATAAAATACAATTAATATATTAACAAAATTATCTCAACTACATAACTATAGGCTAAATTTTAAATTTTGGCAATGTATGGATGAAAAAAACTTAAGCGGTAAAATATTCAGGAAAAATATCACTAGTACATATATAAACATGCATAATCTTTTATTTGCTATTGTAGTTTTCCAAACAAACAGATTAGAGACACAGTTAAAAAAAAAAAAAAGAAAGGGCTGATACTGGAGATGGAAGTGGCCACTGTTGTAGGTGAGAAGTTGAGAAGATAGGGTACATAAGGTTTACATTTATATTTGTTAGTGGCTGAGCTAGAATATAAAAGTTCAAGAAAACGTTTGATAACAAACTAACGAATTTAACTCTAATTGGACTCGAGAAATATTTATTATTACAGAAATATTGAATACAAATCCAATTACTTATAAAATTAAAGACTTAAATAATGAAGTCATCGAGGAAAGTTTTCATAACGACGAATTGCAGAAAATAAAATTTTGATGCCAGAGAAATAACAGATTGAAATTGAATTTAAATATTTAAAAATTAAAAATGTTTTATAAAATGGAATCTAAATTAATAATGGAGACTGGGATGGTATTCGAAAACTTATAAACGATTATATTGATTGGGTAAAGGTTTATCTTGAAATTAAATTAAGTGACGATTTTTTTATTTAGTTTAGAGATAGAGTGAATTGGAAAATTATTTTAAAATTTCAAATATTATCTGATTATTTAATTTTTGAATACAAGGAGTTTTTGATTGGGATAATATTTCTCAATATCAAAAATTATCAGAAAAACACACAAGGGCATATAAAGATTATATGAATTGGTTTTTATTTCTAAATATTAAACGTTATTTGAAGACTTTATTCTTAAATTTAATGATGATGTTGATTGGGAATTAATTTTAATAGAGCAACATTTATCTGAGAATTGTATTAAAGAGATTAAAGATGAAATTGATTGGGAATTAATTTCAACGTGGCAAACGTTATCAGACGACTTTATTCTTGAATTTAAAGATGATGTTGATTGATTAGTTTAAAATTTCTCAACATCAAAATTTATATGAAAATTATGTTAGAGAATTTCAAAATGATATTGATTGGAATTATATTTCTTATAATCAAGGTTTATCTGAAATTTTTATTAGAGAATTCAAAGATAATGTTAATGGGATAAGTATTTTTGCTCGTCAATTATGTGAAAATTGGATCATTGAATTTAAAGATAAATTTGGATGGGAATTCTTTAATCTTGATGACATTATTGAAGAATATATTATAAAAAAAAAGAACATTTAAATTTTATTATTATAAATGTAAATACATACTTACATAAAACAAAAACAAAAATAAAAAAGTAAAATTTTTACAAACTGAAATATGTAAATTTGTATATAAACCTGGAGGAAATTTATATTTTAGAGTTAAATTTCATTTTGAAAAATTATGTAAAATTCAAGGTCAATTAAACTATATTTACATGAGAAATATTTTAATTAAAACAAATCTTATTTATGCCACTTTTGAGGTTTTTAGGAATTTGAATTTTTGGGTGTTTTTTGCTGTAATTTGGTTATAAATACACGTAGAGACTTGAAACTTGCTAACAATACTTTATTTTCCTTTTTTAAATTTTTTTTACAATGGTACTTTGTTTTTTTTTTATACTATAGACCACATTTATCATAGAAAAATTGCTCCGTTGTTTAAGTGTAACACGTTTTCTGAAATTCAATTTTAACTACTTGGTAAATAAATCGGTCATTTTTTGATTTTCGAAATGGCATTTGAAATATAATTGATTAATCGGGGAAAAAAATACGGTTTTTTCACGATTTCGTTATTTTAAATAAGTACCTACCACTTTTCTAGTACAAATATGACTCCAATTAAACAACGACATGAGACCATATTTTTGTTAAATCTGTTTTTTTAATATACGTTTTGAAATCAAATCTACACAAAAATCGCAAAAAAAAAATTATGGCATTTCAAATTTTATACTATCGAACTGCGCTCGGAATCGTCTTTCGTCAGCAATAGTTGATCATTGCTTACAGATATAAATGAAATAACCTTATGTATCTTACCTTTCAAACTTCCCAAACCTACAACCCACCTCCAGTATTAGCTCTTTTCAACAATTAGCGGGAATCGAGAAATAAAAAATAAAAAAGTAGATGCATGGGTGTATACATATTACCGGGTAATTAATCGGCATATTTTAATGTACTGCGTAATAGAGTTTGAACATTTTCACTAATTGAAAATGTGTTTTCCGAGAAAAAACACATCTCATTGAAACTTTTAACAGTTTTTCACTGCACTCAGATTAGTCAAAATCTAAAATAGCATCGTATCCAAATAATATAATAATATATTATAGTGTTTTATTTCTTATAAAATATTTACATGTATAATATGATATGATTTATTATAACAACAACAAGATTATGGCGTAATGTGGTGAATGTGTATATAATAATTATTTTACGATGAAAAAAACTATCTGCAGGCCGTAAGTACCTATTAACTTTACGAGTAGCTACAAATTACAATAGTGTGATATTATATGGGTATATATTAACGAAATATGATCAACTATAATGTTATAACGATTTATAATAATGAATTGTTACAATATAATGTAGGCGGAATGATAATAAAATAAACTTTAAATAAATATAAGTACATTTAGAAAAAATAACTAGGTACCTACAATCTACATATAAATGTACGTAAATATAATTATTTAAAACTAACAGTTGATTATATTGTAACTATTGTTATGATTTTATCATAACATGTCGATCTATTTTTTTTTTCTTTAATTTGCTGACGGCAAGAGATCTAACGAACTGTAAGAATATAGTGGTCTTTTATAACCGAACACCGCGTTTATTATCGATTTGCCGATCATTGCCAAACCGGCAACCATCATGACGACGCTGCCGACGGTCTGCGTGTACGGTAAAATGATAACGGTGAAATACATTAGAGTCGTAATGTACCACGGTAAGCCCACTTGATTCTGAAACACAAAAATAATAATAATGGCTTGTGAATAAAATGAATTATTTTTTCTTCGGATATTTAATTTTATCATTATTTATAATAATCGTATTATGTCGGTAAACGGTACAAAAGTAGCCCACTCACGTGCGAATTATGTCAATATTTTTTAATTCAATAGGGGGAGGCATGTGATTTTAAAAAATCTATAAAGGGGCGGTAAAATAAAAAAAAAATTGGAATACACTGTTCGTGTAAACCAAAAGTGCTGAAACTCGGGAATTGGAGTTTTTTTTTTTTTATAAGCGGATTGAAATAATAACATTCTGGTTGTATTTCAATAAAAACATAACCATGTTGTTGTGGCCAGAGGAGGATTTTCTAGCTTTGTACACTCGTACCTAGATCTTCCAAATGAAGTCACGGGGATAAAATTTTGTGTATACGCTATATTATAAACAGTGTATATATCAATGTGTACCTTTTGGTGGTTTGATATTCCAACCCCCAACCCCACCGTCTGTATGCCAGTGAAAATCTCAAGAACTAATTTACTCATTTCGGCGAAAAAATGGTATTCAATTTCCTCTTCAATGTATAGTAATATCATTAATATATCAAACAATATATAGTGATATAATATCGATATGTATACATACGAAGTGTCTCACGAGGATTTTGTCGAATAATGTAATCATATATGAGTAATATGAGCAATCGTATTTTGCAATAATGATAGATATTAAATGTTATAAAACATATTAATATAATAATTTTGAAAATATATGTTATTTTTAAAAAGGATTGTGGGTCGCTATCTTAATTGGTATATACAGAATGCCTCACGATGAATCTGCCACTTGAGATAATTTTGTATTATTCAATATTTTTGATATATATATTTTTTAAATAATTATAGTATGCCAGTATTGATGAAAATTTTTTTTTTATAGGGAGGGGGATTTAAAATAAAAAATTTTAAGTTTTACTATAATTTTTTTAAAAAAATTCAAAATAGCCATTTTGTAAAATAGACAATTTTTGGTGGTTGAAACTTTTATAGTAGAAATAAAGTTCAGATTGAATAAATTTCATTTTCAGTTCACGAGCTTAGGGATGTGCCTCGGCACACCTTACATGCTCTATGCTTACGCTCATGGTTACCGTACAAGGCTAATCTTTTTAATGCTCTCTTCAATGTCTGTTAATGTTCTCTAAGATTATATAGGTAACTATATACATGAATATACTTACATATTCTGCCCAAAACATAGGAATTGTCATGTTGCTGAATTTGTCGATACTGGAAAATCCGCTCGTGGGGTTCATGACTAAATTGCTTTGGCTACGAGCTCTGCTTTCGACCGGAACTCCCGTTAGCTGTTCAACAAATAACATCATTAATCACAATGATGAATAATAGCCCCATAATATTATTCCGGCTATTTGTTGCACTTCTTACGGGTTCTACGATCAAGTACGAGCCATGCTTTTCTTCCGAAGGATTCAAACCCGATATTGATTTCATGAGCGCTTGATCGCCGTTGAGAAAATGAGGAAACGAAGCTGCTATAGGAAAATCTATGAAAAAAAAAATATACTTGAAGATAGATAAACTGTAAACTGTACGACTTAAAATCAAAATTTATCGAATTTTGTATAGACGCCCTTCAACGATAATATTGTAATAAACAATGTGACTAACATTAATATATTGTATAACATACGCGCCTTTTTTTTCAGTCGTTACACAACATAAACGACACGAGTGTAACGCGAAATTTTTCACTTCTCAGAAAAATAATTTTATAAACCGTATGTATTACCGTGACATTCGATTACACGATTATATTGTTATTAATCCGTTCGTCCAATAAAATGAATAGTTTATTCTTATAGTAGACATTTTTTCTTTTTTCTAATTTCACGTCTTGTTCCTAACTAAACATGATTATCGACGTCTATAATATATTGTTGATTAATGTATGCGTGATAAATGATATTGTATGAAAAACAGTGGATACACGCCTATAAAATCATATTATTATTTAGTCGGTTGTATTAGGTTAGAATGTACGATTCAAATCAAATGTTTTAAAATTAAGAGGTATATTGATATGTTTTAAAAGGCTTCGCAATAGGTTGTTCATGCTTAAAATTAAGTTAAATTAAAACATGACAACAAATTGAACTATTAAAATAAAAAAAAATAAAAAACTAATACTGGGAATGGGAGTGGCCACTGTTGTAGGTGAGAAGTTGGGAAAGTAGGATACACAAGGTTATTTCATTTATATCTGTCAGAAACAATAATCCATTGCTTGATGAAAGATGATTCCAAGCGCATTTTAGTAATTCATTAATTTGAAGTAATACATATTTTTGTCGAGATTTTCGTTTAAATTTGATTTCAAAATGTTTATTAAAAAAAAAAAAAGTTGTCCGATAATTCTGAAAATTTCAACATATCTAGGTAAGTCCAATATAAGTGTAATTACCAAGTTTCAAGTCTTTACATGTATTTATAACCGAATTACAGCAAAAAAATTGCCAAAAATTAAAATGCCTTTAAAGCTCAAAAATGGCTCAATAGGTTTGACGATGATAGCGCAAGAAAGTAAATCAAAAAGGCAACAAAAAATGTTTGTTTGATTCTAGCGATTTTTCGATCAAATCATTTTTTCTGGTAGAAAACGCTGTCCGTGTTTTTATAAAATAATGAAATCGTGAAATTGTACGTTTTCCTAAGTTTTTTCCCACTCAAGTGTTTTTATTTGAAAAATGGCGCCGAAAATCAAAAATGACCTCTCTAAGTACAATTTTTACAACTTAAGCTTTTAGGAAAGTTGCGGTTCGTAAAAATCGGAGCAAATTTACTTGGAAAAAACGTGTTTACAGACTAGAACAAAAAAATAAAAAAGACAAAGAAATAAACAGCATTGTAAAATCAATAGCTTCCTCGTTACGCACGGAATGTAAAACTATTCAAAGAAGCCCTAATAAATACTCTTCGTTATAAAATGTTTGGTAAGTCTCTTTGCTATTACCCAACCAGTGAGTCGCAGTTCTTAATACATAATATCAAAAATATTACCTTTCCGTTTTCAGTAAAAACGACGTTCTTATTCCCGTACAAAAGTTTAAATTTTCAAAAATTGACTAACAAAGAAGGGCAGGATTCTCCTTTGTTATAATAGAACTAGAAAAATTAATTGTATTTTGGCAGAACCGTGTGTATTTGGTTAATTCAAAATCATTAAACATTTTTGAAAGATGATTACGACCACTTAAAATCTCCCGAATACGACATTGTACGCAGTGAAGTTAGAGGTGTTAGAAAAAATAACTGACAATATTATTGTTTAAATTATTTTGAAACATAACTGTCAGTTATTCGAATAGATATTATTATTAATTATTTTTTTTATCCCGCAAAAAACGTGTGCAAAGGGTACATTTAATATTTGTGCATATTATTATGATTTGATTAAATTTATAAAATATTATTTTATTTCAAATAATGCATATCGTTTGAATGGTGCAACATATTTCAATTAGGTATATACTACATACCATAGTAACATGGCGACACGTCTGAAAGACCAGACAAAAGAGAAGTCGATTTTGGATTGTGGAAACAGTCTTCGAGACTCGGATCAGTCTGCGGGTGTGCGAACACGTTGTGTGGAAGAATGAACTTGTACATGGTCATGCCCGACTTGGTCACTTCATCTATAGACAAAAATCACAAATAATTGTTATTTTAATAAGTGAGGAACGTTTTAGTATATATATATATAGAAGTACGTACTTTTATATTTGAGCGGAGTCACTCTGCACATGGTTTTCCTTAAGTATTTCAGCGTATCGTTTTTCGACACAAACTGATGGTACGTTACACCTTCCGTCGCACCTTGCAAACTGTCACACTTCGGGTCCTCCCAAATCCCGAGACTCGGTTTTCCGTGATACTGATCTACCGTGAAAAATCTTTCCCCGTTTTCCGGACCCATGAACACGGTGACTTCGTCCGTAAACTTGTTATAAATCTGCAAATAAATCATTTATATTAAACCAATGATATTTTTTATCATTTATTGTTAAGATATTCATTTGCATCTACATTGTTAAATATGTTACGATATAATAAATTATACTAATTTTCATTCATTAATGCGTCTAATAATTATAAGATTTTAGAGGGATCAATTGGTTTTACTACGTTTTAGATTCTGAGTGAAACGAGGAATGATTTGGTTTTACAACGACGTTTATTTTTTTTTTTTAAGGTGAAAATTTATTTTTACCAGAAAGCATGCTCTGATTATCAAGTATAGCACCTTTTCTGAAAGGAAATTTTCTCTGGATGGTACTTTAAAGACGTAATTTTTTGAAATCCTCATTATCTCGAATATTAATGAGGAAAACCTCGACATTTAGGTTAAAAATGATTGAAAGATTAAAAATAAGGTTGTCATTGGCAACCATTTTTATTTATTTTTGTTATTATTAAGTTTTTATTATTTTAATCGTTTTCATACAATTATTTTTGTCATGGTAACGCACATTGTTTTAATCATTTTTACCATAATATGACATAATCCATATATTATATTGTATTGTTGACAAAGCAACATTATCAGCTGAACTCAGCTCAGAATCGTTTTTTTGTTAGTAATGATTTATCGTTGCTTACAGATATATATTGAATAAATGTATGTATCCTACTTTCCTAACTTTCCACCTACAACAATAACACTCCCGTCTCCAGTATCAGCTCTTTTTATTTTATTTTTTTAAAAAAAAAAAGCTTCAGACATTCCACTAGAAGTGTGCGATTGACGAGTTTGAAAGGTCAAGGAAAACATTTTTTTTTTCTTTTGCAAATAAACTTATGCATATACTATTACGTCCATGATATACATATCAATATAAATAATTCGCTAAAATTTTAAATAGGCAATAACTAATAACATACTCGTATAAGTACCACAACTAGAGTGTGTGGTTATAGTGATAATATTTACCTGGTACAATATACCCATGTTCTCCTCGGGAACTAAGCCGGGCATCATGGTTTTCGCTTTTTTGACTAAAGGATCAGTTAAATTCCATAGACAATTGTTGATAGATGTTTCAATAAACATTTGCGTATCCAATATGTTTAACATTAACTTGAAACCGTATTTTGTAAACGATGAAGCGTCCCATAAATACGACGCTATTCCCTGTGCGGAAAAAAAAATTGAAAACACTATAATAATATTATTAAATTATTAAATCGTACTCCGATTTCTGAATTTACGGTAAAAATGATCGAAAATACGTATGGAATTTTAACGGGATACGATTCACGAATTTGGAGTTATGAGTTGTTAATCTGGACACTTAATTATAATTTTACGTATTTGTTTTATAAAATAATACTAATACTCAATATTATGGTACTACGGTAATCACTTATGTGCGTTTAGTATTTATCTGTCATCCAATATGCATAACATAGTTACATTATGTATACATAAGTTGCATAAAATCTAAACGGGATAGTGAAAAACTTGTTCAGATTTAAATCTAGTACGCCAAAATCTAGATTTTATTACAGTTCTATTAATGACAGATGAACAGAATTTGATGAAAGACCGATGCGATAACATTATAACGATAATAATAATAAAATAATATCTAATATTTTATTTTGTTAATTTAATGAATGTTCGACACTCGTTCGGTTTCGGTTCTTTCTTAGTGTGTTTCGGCGTTCGCAAGTTTATGTGTATGGAATTAGTGCGCAAAAACTTTTGTAAGAATTCTAATCAAACGACATTATTTAACTTCGGTGTGAAAAAATTAAAAACTTATTTAATAAATGCACCGGCACTAGACAACAATATAACTGTAAATGTCATAGAAAACAAAAGTTTAATTTCTTCCTCGATTTGTTCATTATTCAATAGCCACAATCCAGACATTGATTTCTATTTAAATAACAATACAATTGATGATCTTAAGCATAAACTGTTAAAGCAACCACGGATTCTACCTAATAATTATTAGTTTCCTATTTCAAAAAATTGACATTTAAAATTCCAAACAGATTGGTTCAGGCGAAACTCGTGGTTAGTTTATTCCAAATTTGTAGAAGGTGCATTATGTAAAATGTGCGTATTGTATCCGAATGGTTTTGTTTGTAAAGGTTCGAACCAAAAATTAGGAGCTCTAATTAAAGTAACTTTTACAAAATGGAAAGAAGCAATCGAGCGTTTTAACTAAAATTCAAAAAGTGAATATGATAAATTATCCACTATACGTAGGCCAACAATTTTTTAAAAATAATGGACAATGAATAATTTATTTAAGAAATAATATTGGGGACGACCGACTGACAGGATTAGTTCTTATGAATGTGTACAGAAATGATAATATCTGATATTGACGAAGTCATTAACAGATTTGCAAAACTACCTCGAAAATTCGATTTTGTATTATGAAAATATATTTTTCTATTTAATAATTTGTTTATTTTCCTTTGATTTCATAAATAAATTGCTTTAGATTCCGAGCGTAGCTATTGGTTTTGTTTATTTATTTTCTTTCTTCTTTGTTCTAGTCTATGGACACGTTTTTTCCAAGTAAATTTGATCCGATTTTTACGAACCACAACTTTCCTAAAAGCTTAAATTGTATAAATTGTACTGAGAGAGGTTATTTTTTGATTTTCGTCACCATTTTTCAAATAAAAACACTTGAGTGGGAAAAAACTTAGGAAAACGTACAATTTCACGATTTCATTATTTTATAAAAACACGGACAGCGTTTTCTAACAGAAAAAATGATTTAATCGAAAAATCACTAGAATCAAACAAACTTTTTTTGTTGCCTTTTTGATTTACTTTCTTGCGGTATCATCGTCAAAACTTTAGAGCCATTTTTGAGCTTTTAAGGCATTTAAATTTTTGGCAGTTTTTTTGCTGTAATTCGGTTATAAATACACGTAGAGACTTGAAACTTGGTAATAATATTTATATTGGACTTACTTAGTAGTGGAAAATTTCCAAAATTATCGGACGACCTTTTTAAAATCAAAACAAATTTAAACGAAAACAGCAAAAAAAAAAAAGACGGCACTTCAATTTATAAATTACCGAAATGCGCTCGGAATCGTCTTTCGTCAAGCAATGGTTTTTCGTTGCTTACAAATATAAATGAAATAACCTTATATGTCCCACCTTTCCAACTTCTCACCTACAACAGTGGCCGCTCCCATCCCCAGTATCAGCTCTTTTTTTTTTTTCATTTGAAATTGTATTCACTAAAATAATAATTAATATATAAAATTTAGTAACAGGTACCTAAAATGGTAAAAATGAATTGTATAAAATATTGATATTTTTCATGAAATAATTTTGGTTTTAAGATTATGAAAGTGTACAACTTTAACCCCCCCCAATTTTTTTGTGAACGCACCTGTCAATTAGTATCCTGTATACCAATTAATCGTTTAATGAGTATAGCTAATAGGTACAATATTATTGACTCTTTTGTTAATAGTTTTTGTGAATTTAACTCTTAATTGTGAATAATAAGATAAACAATGTTTATTATAATTGGACCTTTTGTCCTTATGAATTATATTAAATAAATAAATAAATAATATTTCGCAAGATTCGCAGTATTATTATTTCGTAGTAAAATCTAGTGAAATATTATGTATGTTTATATAGGCGATTTATTTTATAATATAATTTGATAGCCTGTGAATAGAAAAAAGCTTATATATTTTTTTTTTATTGCGAAAAATTAAACTAATTAAACAATTATAATAATTATATGTATGTTGAACATTGGATAATGTCAAATTTTCGTTCAGTAAAACCAATTATATACTATTTGTTTTACTATTGGAGTGAAATTTTGTTTATCATCAAATTTAAATGTAGATAAAAACATTTTTTTTTCTCAATATTTTAATTTTCAAGCGAAACACATTTTTTAAACTGTTGTATTATTCGCATACTCGCAATATCGAAAAAAGCATAAACGTATGGATACATAAAATTATTAATCCAATTTTCAACAATGGTCGTAACATATTTTGTATATTATATTATTTGGCATTTATATAATGTTTGTACGTTATAATTGTTAGGTAGGTAGAGGTACCCCTCTTATTATATTAAAAAAAAGCGAAAAAAAAATAAACTTAATAATACGCGAACATTGCATAATGTTATAATAAATACAAATGTATATAGCTAAGACTTCTCTAAAATTAAAATTATGACTCATTAAGGTTTTCTACTAAAAAAAAAAAAAAAAAATATTGGCTCAGAGATCCAAGGTTCTTATAATATCAAAATAGAATATAACATAATTATACTATTATATCTTAAAAATCATCTATAACATTTTTTTTTTCAAATTTAAACTGATAAAGAAATTCACACGTTCGGGTTTAAATATATATATATTATACTAATATTTTATGATGGTAAAAATTTTAGACACAATAATATTGATGTACACAAAAGATAATTTTTCATTTTTACTATAAACCTACGTATTTTACATTCAAAATATTTAAAATTAATCATAATCTTTGTTAAATTATCTCATTTTTGAATAGGTAACACCAAACACCTTTGTTTTGCAATTATTAAATTTAACGGATGTCAGGTCGTGATTTACGACGGCAGTGTTTCAAAACGCAATATATATTGTGGGTATTAATAAATTATATTGTTGGAAAGTTAATATGAATTTAAAAATGATCTTTCATTTTAACTTTAACTTGACTAGTAAATTGTCTTTTAACTACATATAGTTAACTGGAATTTTCGTTAATACACATAAGAAAAAAGAAACATGTTTCTAAATTGAATGCATTTTTTAATTTGATATACATCTATTTAAATTTGATCATGTTTATTTTTCAAATTTTACAGGATGGATTTATTTACGTCCTAGTATTTTTTTTGTCTATAATTAACTAGAGAAACATTTTCATTTTAATTCACCTATCTTCGTTAAACGACCAAATGGACTAAATTTACAGTTTTTTTTTTTTATAGAAACGCAATCGAATCGTTATTATAAGTAGTAATAATAATAATTGTCGTTTCTTTGTCATTTGTTATATTGTTATTTCGTTATACTTATGTACGTAATATTATAGATATTATAGTACAGAAAAGTATACGCACCAAAGCAGCGTAGTTGGGCAATATTAAATTATCGTTCAAATTAATGTTCGTCATTTCTGGCAAGAACACAGCGGTTCTCGTGGCCACATAAGTCATTGTACCGTTGTCGTTGAATCTAACATCACTGTGTCTTAATAACTCTCTGGAAGCAAATCACATAAAAAAAAAAAATATATCCTGTAAACATTAATGCGTAAATAAAAATAATAATAATAATAATACTAGTAACGATAAACCAACTACAATAAATATTAATGTTATATAGGGGCTGAAAGAAATGGTTTACTAGTGTATATAAATATAATATACCTAGTATAATTTATAGATAAATGCAGTCTCATACGGATTACAGGAAAAGCCCAGGTAAAATGATTTTAGAAAATAAATGGGACAAAATATACTTTAACCAGAATTAATGAAGTCAGTGGGCCAATCCATTTCGGGGATTAAAAAAAAAAAAAAAAACGTATAAAATTATTTATACGGGAATACGCAATAAGATACATTTTTCGAAAAGATAAGGCATTAAATAGCCTTAAATTTATATGTTATAATCGGATTAATAATTTGCTATTGTTCAACTCATCTCATCCCCTTCTAATCTAAAATGTTTTTAATTTAGTTTATTTATTTTCTTATTGAATTTGGTTATTAATAATAAAAATGCCCTAAAAAACATTAATTTTGATGAAGTAATGACTCAACTCAACAGTGTAATACAAAATTACAATTTAGATAAATAGATTATCTTATCTTTACTTGTATATATGTATATATGTGTGTCAACAATAATTTCGTCTGGAGTCAGGGTTTATCTGATCGATAAAAACATAATAAATATTTATTTTTATTTTTTTAGAATGAATTTTAATCTACATTTTTATCGAATGTTATCCATTCCTATAAAAAAATGACTTGAAAACATAAAAATGCCCTAAAAATATCAAAAAATGCAAAATAAAAGTTATATTTTTTAATTCCTTAATGTATGAAATAAACTTTGTGCTTGGAAGCAATGTTTTCTGACATTCAGAAAAAAATGAAATTTGCATTCAAATCCGTTCCCTAGTTATTATATTTTATTTACAAATGCTCAACAAAAATAAGCCATATTATTTTATTACAATATATTTTTTCTATTGCTATCTTAATCTTGACTAATCGGACGGTACATTGCACGGTTTTGATCAAGTGATAAAATACAATATTTTGCATTGTAAATTATTATTATAACTCTTGAATACATACCATAGCCAGTAATATAATAGATAATAATAAATTTATTTTTGTAAAAATCAAAACAATGCAACTGTAGGCAGAAAATGTAAACTTACCTGTTTTTTAGGTGCTCAATAAAATTTTTATTTTAAAGAAGATACATCTTAATATTAAGTAGAGATTGACTTATTCAAACGTACTATACGTGTGGTTGTTAAACATCAGTCATCAATAATAATCCCGAAAATAAAAAAATAAAAAGAAGCTGTTGAGATGTGGTGTTGCTAGTGTATGAAAACCATAAGCAAACTTGGGTAAAATACTTTTTAAAAGAATTCAGAATAAATATTTGAATACATACAAATAGTGATGTAGAAGTTCTAAAAATGAAGTTGACCAAAATAAATTTTTAAAGACCTTAATAACTAAACACAGCCTATTTTATATCCAAAATTATGGTTCCATATTCTTTTAATTCTGTAATTTTGTGTTCATTCGGTTTTCAAACCAAATTTTGGTCCAAAATGAAACGGTCAAGTGTTAAATTTAAAAAGAAGTCTGGTCAAGACCCGAAATAGTGTTCGACATTACTGCATACAAAAAATAGTATTCTAAATATGTATTTGAATAAATTATAACAACAGTATTTTAATAATATTTCAAATAGTTTGTGAAAAGTATTAGAAATACAAACTATATAAAAAAAAAAAAATTGCTGACGGGTGCGCCACTGTTTTTTGCTACTTTTCCCCGGTTTTTCCCAGTTATTATGAGAACCCCTAGAAAAATAAAAATGACCTCCCTAAAGTACCACCCCTGTCAGATTTTAATTCAGAAAAAGTGCTTTACTTGAAAATCGGAGTAAAATTGCTCTTAGAAAAGTTGTCCACAGAAAAAATAATAAACATCATTGTAAAACCAATACATTAATCGCTCAGCTCAAAACCTAAAAATAAATTAAGTGGTACTAGGAATTATTAAAGAAAAGCGTACATTCGTGGAAGTGATTAGAGTAAGACATTGGAAATTGGTTTGACATGTCTTGGAATACCCAGAGCGGCGTTTTACCTTGTCTTCGATGTATATTTCATCAGCTCTCTCCATTAAAAATTAAACATTTTTTTTTTAAGCCAATATTTATTTAAGTCAACATGTATAACTAGTTTACATTTGTATGCCTATCGCTACAATTTGGCATGTTTTTAAATTTTAGTTTCGACGTTATATTAGAAAAACCACGTGGGATCTGGATAAATGTTTCATTTATATATTTGAATTTACCTAAGGCCGTGCGTAGTTTTTGAACGCAATAAACTGTTTACTAACTGTTTAAATATTAAGAATAAAATAAATATTTGGATGAAACATTGATTTCGTTATAATTCTATGTAAAAAGTATGTCATAACCGTTATGATCAGTTATATATTATGACAGTTATAGGCATACAACTATATAATAGTTACTCAATAAATACTTTTAGTATTGTTGTATTTTTAAACCTGTGGGAGGGGATATAACCCCTTACCCTCCCTCTGTATGCATACCACCAATCTAGGACCTATTTCAAGGGTCCGGTATAAGTAAACAGAAAATCAAAAATTGTTTGCGAATTATTGTGTTTATACATACATACATCAATAATGAATTAATAAAACGATATTAAATATTCAATAGTAATGACTTATGCTCAATGACAGTGTTTGCGAGACACAAGTACCGCCAATAAAGATGAGTAATAATATAATATTTTATTAATGATTATGTCTATATACTGCGAGTAACTATGTATTCAAATGTTATCTGCGCGTGTATTGTCTTAAACGTATAGGCAAGTGAAACGTTACGACTTAAATATTTGTACAGCAGTCTTAACATATTTTGTTTTTTACTATCGATTGTTTTATAAACAATAACACACTGAGCTATTGTACGTTATTATAAATTTTACATTGCGATGACTTACACACGCGTAGTTAATAGTTTATATTGTCGACGGATTTGTGTTTATTTTTAAAATGACATAAGCCGAGTAAAATATCCTCCAAAAGCGATTGTGGTTAATATTCGCAAAGATGTCCGGTAAAAAGTATTATGATGTATAAACTATTCGTTATGACGTAATGTGTATAATATAATATATTATAATCGATTTTTTCTGGAGGTTTTTTTTATTATATCAGCGTTTGACTTTCAAATTTGTACAAATTTCGTTAAAATCACTGCAAGTTATATTTTATATAGGGAGTTGAACGTTAATTTTTAATTTCTAATTTTAATTTAGAACAAATATTGTTTAACCGATCCCAATTCTATGAATAGAGTTTGTTTACAATGATTTATCGTTGTCGTCTTACGTCTGACAATAGTTCTGATTGAAGAAATAAATCGAGAAGAGAACTACACGAGTAATGTTGGCATAGTCACAACCTTCACAATAAAATGTAAAAGGCTACAAAACCTTGGTCACGTAGTAATGCGCAGAAATGATTGAAACAATATTAAAGTGGTTATGAACCTGAAACAAGGAGTAAAGAGACTTAGTAAGGAGTAAAGGTGGTTGGACGTGGTCCAAAAGAATTTTGAAAATTTAGCAGAATACGATTGAAAGAATATTGTTGGGCATTATTCGATTTTTGTTCTTTTTAACCCTTCTCGAGTTTCGATTGCGTCTGGTTTTAGCAGGTATGCATCTGATTGCGTCCCAAAGAAAAAATTAAGAATTTTGATTGCGTCCGATACCAACTAATAAACTCATATTATACTGCATGTGATATTTAATATAAAAATAATACATTTTTCATAAACAATTATAAATAGTGGTTGCATAAAATGTCGTGTAATCGAATTGTTGTTCTTCGATATTCAACAATTTAAGATTTGTGCCTAGCACGTTATTCCCATTCACTTTTCAATTGATGATCGCCATATGCAATCGAAAATCGAGAATGGTAAAAAAGGTTAAAAGGGACACAATTGAAATTTTGCCGGACGCAATCGACATACTCGATTTATTGTTTATCTGATTTTTGGACGCAATCTACTGTCTCTGACATTGTCAGGATTAGGATAAATGTAGAGAAATAGTTTTGGCGACGAAAACTCTTACAGAGTTGTAAAAGTCAAAGAAGAATGATTTATCATTGTAATCTGCAGTAACAACTGTAAATCACCCACCGTTAGTTGTAAAAATACTTATTTTAAAGTGTTTTGAGTACAGATACTTATATGCATATACTTGTTTAAAAAAAAAAAAAAATGTATTTTATTTGAATTACGACTTATGAGTAGATAATTTCTAAATCAAATAGTATTTCGGCATGAATACAGATGCTTTTAAAAAGTATACATAAATACGTTCAAATATTACCAGAAACGTATCTTGTATACATACCTACTACAACAAACCTTCTGCAGAAGATATGAGCAATATTAAGGTTATAATATTTCGTTTTGTTATTAATAAATAGGTACTTATTTTTTTTAAAAATTGTCAACATTTATGTTGTTAATTTGTTTAATGTTTAATTATTTTTCTTACCTGAACACTAACGGACCTATTTCGTTTAGTTCGAGCGTACTATCGATTCCTTCCTCGAACCGTTTACTGTTTGTCACGTTGAACAAGTACACTCTGAGCAAGACTTCGTCAGGTGGATTTTTCCACCATTCGTACGCCGGCAGACCACGTACCATTTTCAGTCTCTGATAATCAAAAATATACAAAACGAACAATTTAATACTTTATAATAAAATTGGTCAGTATTAAATAAAACGTGCATCTATATATAGAGTATTTATTTTAATCCATACGAAGATATCTAGAAACTACGATTTTTTTTTTCGACATTCGTTATAAAATCTTCTTAATAATATTTAAGTACAACATTTTTTAAAATGTCATCTTTCATTATCTATATATATATATATATATTTACAATTTTCGAATCTAAATTCATGTATTTTATTTGGAGCGTATTTTTAATTTCACTTTTATAATAATGCATCTAAAATACGTTTCATTCGGCGACAGTCCTATAAGTCATCATTACTGCAAACACTTTAACAAATTGAAATAAACACGCATGTATCTACAGTTTTTTTTTTAAAACCTATACAACAATTTTAACACGTGTACTATAGTGTTAAACTACACGGATTTCTTAATCGAGTGTGTTTCATGTTACATGTGTATTTTTAGTGCACGACTAAAATCGAGGAGGCCTGCTCTATAATATATAGGAGTAGGTATATATATCTACGACGATGATGATACGATTCCGTGCCACATAAATTTTTTTGAAATTATTCATAATTTAATATTAAAAATATCACCGGAATAGTAATTGGAAGAACAGTGTTTATTTTATTTTATTTCACATATACAAAATAAAACTTTCTAAAAACTACAACGACTTTTTATATAAGTCACACACGCCAAGACAGATTTTAGAAAAATATATTATTTTATTTTATTTGTAAGTACACGGTATATTATAGCATCGCGAAATAAACTAAGTTTTTTTAAAATCTATATATACACCCTGAGAGAACGTGTTATTACTTATTATCAAAAATGTGGGTGTATATTTATAATTATAATTTCTCAATACATTTTTATTTTTTAATACTTTGGTTATTTTTGTTTTAAGTTTACTCAGCCACTTAAGAATGAAGAAGTCTATTGGTTATTTGAAAAATCAATTTTTAATATATTGCTGTGTAGAAAAAAATCACTTATAATCACAACGATATATCTATATTTAGACAGATACCTTCGCCACCGAGAATCAAAATGATATAGTTCTGAAAAGAGAAAAGCACACATCATGTACCTATAATAATAGTATCCTCGTTATGTTCAGTAAAAAATATTTAAAAAATGTATCTAGCTCTTTAAAGTGTGAAAATATGATTTGAAAAACCACTACGTATAAAATAATTTACTATATGACCTATTATAGCACTTGAACGCTACATACTGCTAAAATATACTTTAAATAAGTTAGAGAAGCCTTTTCTCCTAAAGTTCCCGGTTTTTAAACATAGTATTTTATACAATAAACTATTTCACATACAATTTGAAAGAATTCAATGACTCAGTATATTATGCTTAACACCAATTTTTTTTTTAATATTTGCTATTAAGAATTTGTATTTAATATGCATAATTAGTAATAATGATGCCGTTACGAATAATAAACCTATATCGGCTACATCTCCTAATCAACCAAATCAATAACCGTTACTATGTACCAGTAATTATACGGACGGACGGACACAACAAGGAATATATTTAGATGTTCTATATTCAGGACCGTAGAAACCGAATTTTGCGCCTGGTGTAAAATTTCAAAATGAGCTTTTATAAACTCTGCAGATTTATAATGAAAACTCATAGCTGAACAATTTGTACAAACTACATTCAAATTGTAGTGTTTTAATAATCTCTTATGGTGAGCCATTAGATATTCTAAATTTCAAATTGTTTGTTTAGTAATTTCTTTTCAATGTATATATTATTATTACCAGGGTTGCAAAGTGCTTTAAACCACGTGTTTAAAACGTTTTAAACAAGTGGGATTGTTTTAAATGTTTTATATACACCAAAAAAAAAAAAAAACAAAACAATCATTTTATTTTATGTAATTTGTAAGTGTTTCATCAGAGATTATTCGTATGAATTGATAAAGATATTAAATTATTGCGTTTTATTTTAGCCTTTAGGTATGAGAAATAATCATGAACCTTAATATTTAATACCATATACAGTTTTGCTAATAGAAAAGAACTGTGTATAACAATTAACAACAGCAAAATGTATAAGATAAGCCAAAATAGTTCAATTTAATACAAATTACACAGGATGAAGTATAAAAATTACGTAACTACCTGAGTAGTCGCGTAAATGCGTAGAATTGCGTACAATAGTAGAACATAACACTTAATCGCTTTATGTACAGAACTACACTGAAAGATAAACTCCAAAATCATAAAAATAGAAATAGACTCGGAGTCGCAAAGGCCTCAAACCTAACCATTTTTAAACACCTTAATACCAAAAATCAAATTAATAAGTAAAGGTAAAACTTAATATCTAAATAATTAGTTTACAGAGTTTACACATAGAAAAAGAAAAGTAACTTTGTGTAATTCACATAAGTACCTAATTATAATTTTTTATTTTTATTTATTGTTATTTGTTGATTAAAAGTTAAAACAATTTTTTATTTAAAATTTTAAACTGATAAATATTATAATAAAGTTGATTATATTTTAAACGAAATGTATATGTAAACGTAAAAAAACATTTTTAACAAAAAAAAAGGCATTTAAAACAATGTTAAAAAACATTTAAAAAATTTAAAAAAAAACCTCGTTCAAAATGTTTTTTTTTGCAACCCTGATTATTACTTAGATTTTCAGGGTATTATTTCGCTCTCCCGGGTATTGCGTTTGGAGCATAGGCACTGCTCGCTCCCTCCTTGCTACGACCTTATCTATACTTATATTCAGATTCCTTATGCATCGTGAACAGTAAGTATTTATATTTTGATTGTGCTTATTTTTTTAATTATTCAAAAAAAAAAAAAAACAAAGCGTATGCTACAAGTCCCTTACCCTAATTATTACCGATTACCTACACAATTAATTATTAATCGTCGTTTATAAAACTAAATAATCATAATAATTCAATATAATATTATATGTCCATTGTACCTAATTATTATTCCCGTTAAAAGCGCATGTGATGCTTAATAGACTCCATATTAAAAATACACATAGGCAGTAACATATTATAATATTATACATTGTAGGGAACCTAATCTCTGCGGGGCATCTCGAATACGGGTTTTATATCGATTAGAAGAAAAAAAAATATATATTATGCATATTTGATGACTTTGATGTAGCGGACCGTTCCGGTCGGATTATAGTTGCCTATCCTACAAACGCAGTGCAGTTATATTCGTATTATATAGGCATCGCATTCTACTTTTTTTTTTTTTTTTTTTTAAGCCGATCCCCCGTTTTACACGAACGTTTTGTCGTCGTAACGGCACGGTTTACATGATAAGATGAAGGCGAACGCATACGCATAGTAATATTATATACCTATATATTATTATTCCAAACACGCCGCGCTGTCTGCGCGCTGCACATTTGGCGGACACCTGCAGCTTGTTTCGATCTTTCCGTATTGAACTCGTCGGTCTTTTTTTATTATTATTTTTTATTTTTTCCGTATTAGCATTCTTGTCGAACGTTAAATAAATTATAGTGCATTAATAGGTATAAATAAATAATATACATAATGGTATCTACTCGAAAACTACACGGTCGTTCAAAAATGTTTAATATCGTATTATAATACGCGGCGGTCCGAAAAAACCGGTGTATACATATGCACTTTCAGCCTACATAGTATTTTTTTTTTTTTTTTTAATCTCTCTGTTGGATAGGTACGATTATAATATATGGGCAGGGAATACCCAGAACTCGTAAAATATGTAAGTATATATATATATTTTTTTTTTTCCGGGAAACTAGTTTGCGATGATCGTTATAATATATTGTTTTGATATTCTAAAGAAAAGTCTGAAACGTCTTTTTAATCAATCATAATATTATTATATTAATATTTTTCGGTGAATATCATTTACTGCAACGTTCAAATCAATTTCAAACCGTGCGGGTATAATACAAGTGTATTATAATTATCTTTGTCTTACATATCTGCACATAAGCGCAACTGGGTTACAAATTCAGAACAAAGTTTAAAAATAAATAGACAAAAAAAAACTGCGAATTGGTACGAATGGCGTTTATTGCGTCTACTTATTTTACAATAATTAGACAGCAATCAGACATATTATCATTGAATTTCTAATAAAACGCACACAAATAAATAATAATAAAATCATACGTAACTAAATAGGCATTTGTATACATTAACGTAATAGTATATTAAGCGAGTATTAAAAGAAATGTCTGAAAGTGAAGGGCTAATTATTTGTATAGGTACACTAGAGTGGGTTTGAGTCCCCCAGCATCCTCCAAGTTGCTATATTGCATCTAAAATTGTTAGTTTCTATAAAATCAAAATGATGATTACATTGTATTGCAAATGGTTTTAGAGGTGAAATAATGTGCAATATGATGGAAACAACATTAAGTTTTCGCATTTTAAGGAAGTCCATATTGTTCAGAGCGTGAAATAATGTTTTCATCGCGTATTTGATCAAAAACAAAAAACCAAATAATTATTGCACTGTTGAACATTTACACAATTTATTATACTATTTTATCATACCAATATTTTAAATTATTTAAGCAACAGCATACAAATATGTAAATACTATTTTAATATTAAATAACTTCGGGGATGTGAATCAATAAAATATTTTTGATGTGAATATCGAATCGAAATTGATATGATGACAATTATTATTTGGGTTTTTTTTTTATTGAAAAAGAATATTTACAATCTGTGTTATATTATCACAATGAGCAAATATGATAATTTTAAATACAATAATTTATATACATTTTAACTGTGAATGATATGAGGAGGGAGGCCAACTAGTGTTGGAACCCAACTTGATATGTTACTTTAGGTTAATAAATCTTTGCAGTATTTTTTTTTGAGTTGATGGGTGGGATTTATGGGTTGAGTATTGGATGGGTTTTATGGTTAGATTAGGTTAGGTTAAGTACTAAAAGTACCATAGTGTAATTGTAGTTTTTGTTTTCATTATAAAGTTGATAATATCGAATTATATTATAATTTAGCCATTATTTTAATGGTTCTATTATAGTAGGTATTTTTTATCATTTTGATAGAATCGTATACTTGCATCAGTTTTATTTATATGTTACATGTTACAAGTTATATGTTCAAATATCAAAAATTAAAATAATAATTTGAATGAATAAATGTATGAAGAAAAGAGAATTAATTAAATGAACAGGCGTATGATATTGATTTTTCTGGTCAAAAAATTATCGATCCACCTTGCTCAATGAAACATGATTAGTCCTTTGGATTGATTAACACAGTAAAACCAGGAACCGAAAATATAATGTTGTATGTGTTTTAATTGCTTTCAAATTTTGCGTAATATAATTATTATTGTCACGGCTACCTAGCCGTGATATTAAGTTGACCTAAGTATAGTTTTTAAAACCATGGATACCTAATCTGCCATTATTATAGATAATAGTTAACCGAACGTAATGAGAATTTCAGTATTTCTTTATTTTATAACATAATAATGTTTACGTAAAAATATGTGTAAAAATTAACCTTCGTGTGATATTGTAGTGTAGATGTCGGTTAGTACCTAATATCTATATTGTTGATTTTTTTTTTAAATTTCAAACGAGACGTTAGTAAACAATTTACACACACATACTAATAGTATTAATATTTATAATACCGGGATCAATATTATACCGACAAATATAGTTGAAGATAATAACAGTTTGTCTATCTGCAAGTAGTGTGTTAACATAAGCTTAGTGTACCTAAATTGTATACTAGGTATTACTATAAAATATCAATAAGGTACTTACCTCATTCATTAATATGTCAAATGGCGTGTACATTATTGTAATACTGCCCACAAGGAATAATACTAATGCTGAAAAAATGTAGAACGAGTTTCCTGGAAAAAAAAAAATTAAATATTAGTCAAATTCAGTAAGATAATATAAAGTAGATAGGCATTAGGTAAATACGAAAATTCGACTTTCTATTTAAATTATATCGCAGACGTTGATATTTGATTAGGGTATCAGCTCTGTGCATTTATAAATTTCCATTTCTAGCAATTATTGAATAATATACATGACAATATTATCGTGCAATTATTTCACTGTACAATTTTATCAACAGGGTTGTTACCATTTCGTATTCAACATTTAGTATATTACGACTGGAGGACCTTTCTTTTATTTTCTTAAATTTTATTATTTTGTTCATAATCCAAGATTTCGAAGGAATTTAGATACGTTCTTTCGAAAACTACTTGAAAAATAATTTCCTTAAGCATCAATTAGACAGTTTTCCTTTCTAAAAGTAGTTATCAGATGACCGAGAAAAAAAACACATAGTAAAACCGTAAACGGTTAGTAACCGGTAGATTTTAGTGGTCTAGGGGCGAACGATTAAAACATTTAATTACAAAAAAAAGTTTTACGAACAAAGGAAGATAATATTAATTATTACATGTCTATAATATTAATTAAAAAATAATAGCTTTTTACATTTGGTGGTGTCGTATACGCAAAGTTCTTTCTTGGACGCATACTGAAGTAATCACAAAGCGTACCCCGAAACCCGTGGTAATTATAGCTTTACTTACAGGAAAAATATTATGTCCTCGTCCTGTTTTAACACCGAAATACCTCCTCCCATCTCCGATGCCTTAGCTAAATGTTCGCGGTACTTCGTAATGCTGTTCAGCTAATGTGGGTAGTTCTATATTTCACTATGCTTCGATATCAAAAAAACACGATAACGAGTAGGTACTGAATTAAAACAAGAACGTCAGTAAATATACCAGGTGATTCATATAAATGGATACACTCATTATCTCGGAAAGTATTAACTTTTTCAGGAATTTATTTTCTAAAACATTTAAGAAACAAGCTGCTCCATAATTTTATATTTTTATTATTTTTTGTCATCCTTATTTTTGGGGGTAAAATTACTACCTAATTTTGATTTAAAAATGCCAAACTATATTAAAAAGTCCATAAATAGATTGAGTATTAGTTAAAATAAATTTTAGTGTTGACATTTTTGATTTCTGTTAAGCTGATGACGAGATATACCAATTTTAATTTCAGGTTAGAGGAGAGTAGTGGTGCATTATTAACACGCCACTCGCCGTACCTAACCGCCACACTAATGATACTCTACTACTCTCCTCCAAGTCAAACTTAAAAGTGGAACATCTCGTCAACGGATGGACGAAAATAAAAAAATGTTAACACTAAAATTTATTTTAACTAATACTCAATCTATTTATGGACTTTTTAATATAGTTTGGCATTTGTAAATCAAAAGTAGGTAGTAATTTTACCCTCAAAAATAAGGGTGACAAAAAATAAAATAAACATAAAATTATGGAGCAGCTTGTTTCTTAAATGTTCTAGAAAACAAATTCCGGAAAAAGTTAATACTTTTTGAGTTAATGAGTGTACCCACTTAAATGAATCACCTGGTATAGGCGTATATCGACCAGTGAGTACTACTTGTATAAGACACTAGAACCACGTGAAAACGTGTTTATACATAAACACAAAAAGTATTAACTTTTCTTTTTTCTTAAGTATCATCATAATACAGAAAGTATGTTTTGTTTTGTTTGCTCATTAATTTTATATATTATAAGTAATATAAACCATTCATTATGTAATTAAAAACCTTAGATTATGTTTCTAACTTGATGTTAAAGTCAATTTCAAAAGAAAAAAATGTTTAATAACTAATTTGGTCTATAAGTAAGATTTTTCGGAAATACATTTTAGATTCTGAGTGTAGTAAAGAATGTATTGGTTTCATTTTTTGATTTTCCCGAAAGTTTTTCCAGAAAATATAAAATACTGGGAAAAACGTAGACAAAACGGGAAAATCGGTACAATATTAAACAAATATTGTTAAAAAAAATATATAATGCCCATATTTAATTAATTTATCTTAATATGACATATATATTGTTGACTGAACTCTGTTCAGAATCGTTTTTTCGTCAGCAATGGTACTCGTTACTTACAGATATACATTCAATTTCATTCTGTAGCCTACCTTCCCAACTTCCCACCCATAATAGTGGCTGCACCCGTTCCCATTATTTTAGGATACCTTTTTTTTTGTCATCTTGCAATTTTCAATATTCAATTTTTTCAATTTTCAATTTATTTTAGCATCGACCTTTCTTGCACCAAGCTATGGATATTATTATCAGGTTATAGAACTTGTATAGCAGTATAGCACTTAAAATTACCCAAAAGGCAAATAGTGTTTTAATAAGCTCTGAAAATGCTATAATAAGCACAGTATTTAAAAAACAAATAAAAAAAACTCATAAAAAGTAGCAATAAAAGAATTTTACATTTTCATATTAGGTAACATATCTTGAATGTGAATCTTAATAACTTTAAAACCTTTAAAACTACACTTTCGGATTTTGCCCCAGATCCACTGATGACAGACGTGACATGTATAATTAAAAATATAACAGAAACAAATAAATACGCGTTGAAAAATAGAATACAAAGAAGAAACTAGTTAAAAATCACAAGGAGAAAATAATCTGGGTTTGCGTCTACGTAATCACAAACTAGAAAATATACAAAAAAATTATTAAAAGTTATTAACTTTTTTATTGTTAGCACAATATTCTGGTTTAGTACCAGTACAGATAGATCTAGTTAACATTTTGAATCCATTTAATTCGCATCATGGCGTAACGTGTGTTGCGCTTCAATTTTAATTATGAAAAACCGTTTTTGAAATTAAAAAAGTATTTAAAATACGTTTATACATTTTTTTTACTCAAATACTTTACAAGTCCGATGTATTTTTACATAATAATAGGCGTACCTACCGATTTTCATTATAGGTATATAGTATACATTGAAAGTGTACCTGTACACAATTATTTTAATACGAAATCCGTCGTTGTCCCTCGGAATAAATGTCAACAATCTCAATCGCCCATCATATTATATTGTGCAACTAATTGACCGCGGGTATATAAAATATTATATACTTGTTATTATTATTATTATTTAGGACAATTTGCGTTGGTCTCGTCAAACGAATGAACGTTCGGCTTTATAGCGGATCATTTTAATCTTATTGTGAGCTGCTATTGTTTTGCGTCATATGTATAATTTACAATTTCGCTTAGATTACTATACGACGCAACGATGACGTAGGTATAGTTATAGGATACGTTTTATACACATACACGCACACAAAAACAAAAACATAAAAATGTACAATTTCGTTTTTTTTTGTAAACTATGTCAAGTTTGTTAAACGTATTCAATACCTATCTATATAATAATGTCGAACTGCTGCTGTAGCAGCAACAAGTGTGGTATCTTGTAATAATAATAATAATTTAATAAGTATCTAATAATAATGTTCGGGGTCAACTGCGCGTGGATTATATAATGTTGCAACGTTATTTCCAGTTGCTCAGTGAAATGGAAATTAACGGAGTTTTATGAAAAAAAAAAAAAAATAAAAAAAAAATAGCATATGTTTAATGCCCTTGGCCGACTTGACAGAATATTCCAAAAAGAGAATGAAAAAAAAAAAAATTTAAATTATAATATCGTATGTGTGTATATATATATATATATATATATATTTATACACTGATAATTGCGGTGTAAAATCATATTAGCAAAATTAGCCGCGTGTGCTTCGATCGAGTGAGTCAGCGCGACGATGAGTGGGCGGATGGGCGTATAATACAAAAGTTCGATTACCTTTAAAAGTAAAAAAAAAATGTACATAATAAAATGTTTCATTCAACGACATTAATAATTTTATTACAACAGTAGTTACAAACAGTAGGTATACTCATAGGTGTACGTCATAATAATATTATACCATAATAATAACAATATAATCATCACAAAAGGAATTAAACACAATTTACCGTGTAAAACTATAATCATTCTTTGGTCCCAGGACCAAAAACCCAAACCATTAAAATTATATTATGGCTTATGTCTTTTTTGCAAAACAAAGAGTACGACGGTGATTTAAGATATTTTAATGTTCAGTACAATATAGCAAACTCATACCGTTTATACCGTTTAGACCGAAAAATTAAAGTAAAAAATTACATATGACGAAATTATAGTATATGAAAATAAAAAAAAAAAAAATGCTAAAAATTTATTTTGAGCCATTCTTACCTGGGACCGTCGAAATACTAAATACTAAATATTAGTACGTTGTTGACATTTTTTTTTTAAACGTGTATTAGGTATTTATTTAAAAGAATTGAGCGGCACGAGGCAACACACTGTTTTTTTAGTAACAATCATTCTTATCCAAAAGTCTGCGAGTATTCTTATCGTCGGATTCGAGGAACAAGGAATATCGATCTGTATAATATTGGCGTACCGAACCGGAACAGATTTCGGGTAAGACTACAGTCCTCGCCCTTCCTTTAATATACCGCACATAATAGAATATAAAATCATTTCGCTAATATGCCTATTAATTATTATTAAAATTATTAAATCGTAAAATATCAGTAAATATATATAGTTTCAATTTATACCGAATTTAAACAAATTAAAAAAAAAATGAACAAAAGAAAGGAAATTAATTTAATTTATTTTATTATTATACAAAAAAATATAGGTTTTATGGGGAGACAGAAGTTATTTTCGCATAATAATTCACTTCAGTCGATCCGCACGAGACGAAAAACCTTATCTTTTTCGATTGATTGCTTTTAGATTCGGAGCGTATCAGTTTTACTATGATCTGTGTTTTCGTATTTTTTTTTTCTTTTGTATCTGTAAACAACCTTCCTACTAGAAATTATGATGCAGTATATAGAGAGTATCAACTTTTCTAAAAGGAAATTTAGTCTTGTCGGTGTATTGAGGAAGACTTTTTTTTTGATTTTCCAACAGATTTTTAAAAAAAATTGGGAAAAATTGAAAAGAAAATTGTAGATAAAACGGCAAATATTCACGGCACACCAAGGCGCGGTGTTAACCATTTTGTTGTTTTTAATTTTTGCAACTTATGTTTTTTACCAGAAATATTGTTCCAATCGAAAAATAACATAATAACGATTTTGTTCCTTTTAATATATAACTACTGAATAAGGAAAACCACTTTGGATATCCAAAGTGGTTTTTATAATAATTGGAAAAAATCAAAAACACGAAAACTACGATATATTTTTTCTCAAATTACGGGGCAACGATTTTATTGTTTAAAACTTTTACGGCTATGGTTTCATACTATAAATATTGATCTAATAGCTCAATGACGATTTGTTTTTTGATATTCTTTGTAATTTTTTTTTTAATAATTTGGAAAAACTGGATAAAAACGTAAAATAAAAACTGACAAATATTTAAGCTTTCTGCTATCTACTAGAAATATTGCTCGAATAGAAAAATAACAATAGATCTTTTTTATTTAATTTTTAATCTTGTTGGTGACCAAATAAGTTGATTTTAATTTTCTTTGTAATTTTTTTGAATAATTGATCAAAACAGTAAAATAAGTAGAAAGAATGAGAAAATTTACGAAAATAATTCTTATATTATTTAAAATTAAGTTAAAAATATTCGTAGGAACTTAATAATTTGACAGAAAACTTATATTTATTTTTCTAGTCGTAGTAAAATTTTCTATACATTTGAGTTATTTTTGAGCTACTTATAGACATTTAAATTTTGCGAGTTGTTTACGTAATTATATTTAATGTTAGGTACTCTATGCATATGAAAATGCTAGACTAAATAGAAATGCTTAATATTTTGACAAGAGGTTCATTATAAATCGTACGAAGTGGTAAAAAAGATAAAAAATAAAGTGTAATATAGTTTTTTTTTTTTTTATAGTAGTTTTAAACACAAATTTTGACAAAAATAGTAAATATTACGGTCTTTTAAAAACATGTATTACTGAACTTCACTCCGAATCGTTTTTCGTTAGTAATGGTTATCGTTGGATACAGCCTCTATTCAAGTATACATTAAATAACTTATGTGTCCTTTTCCCAACTACCCGCACACAACAGTGCCCACACCCGTCCACAGTATCGGCTCTTTTTTTTTTGTTATTGTTCCAAGTGACCGTTTTTTTTTTCAAGTTCCTTTTCACGTTTTAAAAATTGTTATTATCATATACATAATATATATGGACCACATATATGTGTATTATATTTAACACATTATTATTGCACGCATTTTATACTTATTATGGAATCGTTTTACGAACAGATTTTTCAATTATATACTTGCAAATTTAACGTTAAAAACTCTTATCACTGTATTATATTACGCTGCATTTCGAAACCACGGTTTCGATGTACCTACTATTATGGGACTATGGGTACCTTACTATTGTTTCCAGTTATTCCATTTTAAATTAAAAAATAACAACAATCCGTAGGAATTACATTATTCAAGTGGATCCTTCATAGATAAATAAATTTTCAATTCGATTTAATGATGTAATACCTATAATATTATATATATTATTATCAAGACTTTCCCTTATAAGAATTGAAAAGATAAGACAGTTTAATATTATATACTATTGTGGTAAGGATAATTCATTATGCAATTTAAGTTTAATTTTGTCATTGTACAAGAGTATAGTATGCAACGAATATAGTTATGATAATGTAGACACTCCTCCAAATACAAATGATTCGGCGAATAATTTTTGGAACAATCGTGTTATCGATTATCGATGAACCGTTTTAGTATAAATTATGCATTCATCTATTAATGTATTAATCATTATTTCAAACAAATGCATACACTTAAAAAAAAAAAAAAACTTAAAAACAATGTGCATACAAATCGTGACACATAACGTACGCCTAGGTATATTATTGTTGTGTATTATTTGAAAGAAAATATACAATAAGTATTAAATTGACGCAATATCTCAATCGAGTTTCGAATGGGATAATACTGCAGAATAATAATTATTATGGTTCCGCAGTACCATAATAAATAACTGTCGTGGACAAAGTAATCCAGAGTGAAAATGAGCTTTTAACTTCTTTGGTATTACGTATATTATTATTTTGGAACTCTTCGTCGACAAAACTGTACATTTTCTAAAACAAAACTTTATTCCGGGTCATCTAATTCCTGCTCAGGTAAAAAAGTTACTGTTGATGTCAAATACAGACGTACGTATCGAAAAAAATTACTTCTACTCACCATTATTCTTTGATAATATTACCATAGGTATGTCAAAAAAACATTAAAATTACTGACTGTTCACTTCGGTGGGTTCGATTAGGAGCGTTGTATAAATAATGTATTTGAACGATACATGTAGGTTTACCCACAAAAATTTGTATACATTTATATAGAACCAAAACTAGATTTACATACATTTCACTGGGCACAATAATATTAACATAAACAACCGTAACATTTTTCATTTTCGAATTTATTGATATATATACAACTGTTTAACTCCTCCGACACTTTTTTCGAAAACAAAGTAACCGTAAGAAATAAACTATATGTAGAATAATTAAAAAAAAAATTAACTTCGACATTATATTTTCGGACTTAAGCCGATTTTTATATTTTTTAATGCAAGCAAATTAAATATTGAAAATGGCATAATGGTATAACTGCGAAATGATTAAATTACTAATAGCCTAACCAAAATAACCCTATAATAGCATCCTAAATGTCTTTTTTTCAAACAAAATTACATCATAGTGATATAAGATATTTTATCTTTAAGTATAATAAGTAATATGTATTGAAATATACGTACGTAAAATAAAAATTACACAATATATTATTTTAAAAAAATATCAAAAAAAATCAAGCCATTCTTTCCTGAGACCAGAGATGTAAAATCTAAGTTCCCCCCGACTTGTCGAAAAATTAATATTTTATTTCAAACAAATACACGGATATAATAAATGATTATTAAATAGTATATTCTGATCCGGTGGTTTGCAAACTGTGTGTCATGATGTGTCTAAATGTGCCATGAGCATTCACTAGATGTGCCGCAGTATTACGAAATTTGTTTTCCTTTAATCCATAATCCTTTAATTCATTAAGTATGAAATTGTAACTCTTTTGATTATGACTTGTTTGTGTATGACTCGTCAATTTTGTTATTATTTCTAATATTGTGCAAAAAATTAAACAATGACAAAAAAATGTCACAGTATGCCGTAAAAATGTGAAAAGCGAACCGTGGTCAAAAAAGTTTGAAAACTACTGTTCTAAACAGTGTAGAGACATTAATTCACAACACTCTTTGCGATTTGAATTTTGTTTTTATTTTTTTGTTATACTGGGTAATATATATTTTCACGCACTCAGAATTGGTCACAGTTGTTAAGACATGCTACCACTAATTGTTTTAGATTCTGAGCGAAACGAGGAATGTATTGTTTTTACAATGATGTTTATTTTTTTCCTTTATTTATATTGGGTACCAAATTTTTACTTTTCTTATCTGTTTATCTAATTGGTACTTTAAGGAGATATTTTGATTTTCCAAGCAGTTTTTATAATAATGAGGTAAAATCAAAAAAAAATTACAAAATTTATTATTTTCAATTTTGTTTTTTTGTTGTGATTCAGTTAAAAATATTTGTAAAGACTTAAAATCTGCACAGAAAACTTAAATGTGCCTTTTCTAGACGTTAAAAACTTTTGTACTATTTTCGAGCTATTTATAGATATTTAAATTTTTTGAGTTTTTTACGTAACTTTTATTCGGCAAGAACTCTGTGAAAAAAAATGATAGACCAAACAAAAAAGCTAAACAAATTAACTGGAGGTTTATTATAAGTAGTACTTTTTGGTTAAAATAAAAAAGTGGAATTTGATGAAGTATTTTGTTTGATAAGAATTTTAACATCAAATTATGACGAAAATTGTAAATATTACGGTCTTTCAAAACATGTGTAACCGAACTCTGCTCAGAATTGTTTTTCATTAGTAATGGTTAATCGTTATTTATAGATAGACATTAAATTCCCCTCTATATCTATCGTCTATTCAACTTCTCACTTATAACAGTAGCCCACCAATTATATATAATATGTCCGTCCTGTTTTGATGAATTTTGATTTTACAATTCCAAAATTAGTTGAGAAGTTGAAATTAAAATTTATTCGTTAATTTTACATACAATGGTATTACAATAGAGGATAATTAGGGGTTAACGAGGTAATTACTCCTCCCTGGACTTTTTTTTTAAAAATTATTACCTTTTAGAACCCATAGAAAATAGGTATCCATACCTTATAAGTGTTCCGAAATTGATTTATAAAGCGAGGCTTATTTTTCTTTTACAATGTTTTAACTAAGGTGATAAGTGATAAATTGCCTCACTTTTCCGACCCACGTCTAGAAAAAGCTAATATTAGTTAAATAAATCAAATTATTAGAATAAAATCGAATATAATTGAACAGTTATTAAACTTTCCCAATTTGTCTACGTTTTTTTCCCGTTTTATCTCAATTATTATAAAAAAAACTTAGAAAATAAAAAACTAATGTCCTTAAAGTACCAATACATCCAATATTTTACTAAAAGCTCTGTTTTCGTTCTCTGATTAAAACAAGTATAATAGGAAATATATAGATTTTAACAGCCATATCATCTATTCAATATAAAAATATATTAATTTAAACATATAAACATATATACATATATATATATTATTACAAAAAGTTATTTGTTTATCATGGACCACTTAATATCCATATAAGGATGTAAAAACAAAAAAAATTGTAAAAATTGAGATCACATTGTATAAAAACAATATGAAAAAAAAAAACATTTTAATTTCTTATTAAACCCTATATGATATTGAGTATAACCCATAATAAAAAAAATCACTCTGTATACGTGTTACATGTTAACGCAAATTTGGATTTTACTATAAAACAAAGTCTAATTTTCTTGAGGACATTGAAGGAATATCGAGAACTTTATCATGTGTGATCGTTATGTTTTTGTGTACCGACAGCATGAAAAAGTTGATTCTAAAGACAAATAAAACAATAGAAACATAATAACAAACAGCAAGTGTAAAATTTGTTTTAAAATTTACTTGACCCGTAGCCAGGGCCTAATTAATCAATAGGCTAAAAAGGCCCGTAGTGTTCCTTAAATACGTTTTTACTCGTTTCAGCGTTAAAAACGTTCTTTCGGGGGTCGCAACGTGCATACAATTTTTAATAATTTATTAATAGTTGGAAAATTCTATGAATCATACATCAAAAATGCTTTAAAACTTCTTTTTAGAACAACATTGAGCCTGGAAAGTTTAACTTTCTAAAACATTGATTCTACTGTTCAGTTATTGATTCTGTAATTGAGGACGGCACAAAGTTTTGAATTTGTTATCAAATCATAGTTTTAACTCATGAGGCATAATAATTGATAAAATTTATATTAAAACTTTTTTTTTTCAATATTGAATTTAATATTCTTTGTTTCGTTCATACAACTATCAAAATTATGTTTCAGATAATCTCCCGGGGAGGGGATATAACCCCTATATCCCCCCTCCTGTAAATACGCCACTTCATGGCTCGGTGTAAGAATTGCGTGTTTTCTACGCTAAATATATTATAATATATATAATATATATAATATAAATTGTTTAAAACAAATCATAAGTGATAAATTGACGTTATTGTTTTGTACGTATGGAATCTGCGGCTGTTTCTACACCTTGTGCACTGCACAATATTATATTATCATGAATGTTATGAAAAAAATAAAAAAAAAAACGATAAAAAAAATTCCCAAACTAACGGAGATGAATATTGCGGTATTGTATATTTTTACTGCAGCACGAACCTTATAATTAACAATTACAGTCAATCATTTTATATTACGAGAATAATCCTGCAGGCTTGCCGCAGTAGCCGTTTAAGTTCGTCGCGGGTTGTAGAAATAAATCGCGGATATTCTTCTTTTAGAAAGGCGCTTCGCACGCAGCCAATATCTCACGGTACCGGCTATACCATCATTATAATTATTTATGTAAGTGCCGATTTGGGTCTTTCGGTGCACGACTTATTTCGATTAACATCACGTTGAAACCACGACCACGATGCGCGGCCTTTATAATATACTCGTCTGCAATATTATAACAATGAGCAACAATAATTGTATCACACGATAGAAATATTTACACGGGGTCGACGAGATTTTCGTTACTTTATTTCAACCGAAAATAAAATTGAAAAAAAAAACGATTAGAATAACAACAATATTATTTATTATTATTTTGTAGGTTGTCTTAAATGCTCGCAATCGCGCGACTTTTCACCTGGATTTCGATTTGCCCTTAACCCATTAATATGATCCAGTAACGAAATACATAATGTCATACATATATAAAACACATTATACACCGGTGGTTCACAGACCCGAATCAAGGTAAATTACTTTTTCTGCCCATATATTATATAAAACCGGTGGTCGCGGTACAGGTACTTTCTTCGATTGGGTATATCGGCTGTATAGCTGGTCCACCGCCGCGGCACAGTCAGACGTGGAAAAACACGATTATTACCGATGATAATAATTACTATAACTGCATCACAATATGTATATACGGTGTCGACGATAGTACCCATTTGATTCGTTGGTGAAAATGAATACTCAATTATCACCTATATAAATGTATTTTTTCTTTCAATTTTTTTTAATGCATTCAATCACGTAAAATGTTGAAAATCGATTTATATAAGTATCAAAGTACGTAACATTTAACTGACAATCGTTTTCCTCAAGTGCGTACGTACCTATAGGTAATGTTTTTAATATTTACATTTTGAATATTATGAAATAGTATTAGCATAATAAGTTATTCTCTACTATAACTGCATAATATTTGATTAAAAACCGAGAATTTATACCTTGACCCGATAAAATAATATCATATGTTTTAGAAAAATCAATAACTAATCTCTCTTTCTCTCTCTCTCTCATTCTATAAAATATCCTGATTGACTAACTGATTCATGAGTCCAAACCACTGGACAGATCTGGTGGAAATTTGGATACTATGATGTAGGCATCCGCTAAGAAAGGATTTTTGAGAAATTAACCTTTAAGGAGGTAAAATACGGGTTTTAGGTATACTTAGTACGAATATATAATTGATTATTTATTTATTTTTATTTATTCAAGGGTTACCTTAGTGTTACGGAAAAGAAAACTATTATAGTTATTATTATTACTATTATTTAAACTATCAAAATTTCACAATAGAACACATTTAGTTCGTCGAAGGTAGATTACCCACTGTCCATCTATTTGTTTTCATTCAATTCTAACACGGTCAAAATCAAAAATTAATATGGGTAAAATAATCAAAATTAAAAACTTAAAAATTGGTACAGGTAACGCCGGGCGCGAGATAGCTAGTTAATATTTATTTAAACAAATGTTGAATAGACTTAATGAATTATTGTCAGTATCTAGTTGCTTTTTTCGTATGTTTTATGAAATGTTTAAAAAAAATATTATTCTGTTCACAAAACCTTATATCTTAAAAAATGTACTGATTAAATTGTTTTAAGAAACCATTAAAATAACAAAAACCAGTTAGTTTTTTTATAAATTTAAATATTACTGTAACAATTTATTACATTTAAAAAAAGCAGCTTTGACCTAAATATAAAATAATTTGTGAAAAATAAAATATATGTAATTCTATAAATTTAACAAATTTTTCGACATTTTTGGAAATTAGAAAACATTGAGAAAAACGTAAATTTGAAATCTAGTAAAAGTAAAAACTAGAACACAATTTCACTTGCTTAACAAAAACCACTTACTCTTCACGATTTTCGCAAAAGAGCTGATACTGTTGATGGGTGTGCCATTGAATTTGGGAATGTAGCCATGTAGGGTGTATAAAGTTTTTTAATTTACACTTGTACGCAACGATAAATCATTGCTGAAGTAGAACGGTTTTGTACAAAGTTCGGTTAAATACATTTTGAAATTTTATAATTTTTACGGTTTTCATAAAAATTTGAACTTAAACCGCTAAGTATAATTTATAAATATACTCGTTTTTATTTGTCAAGCGTCTCTGATTGGCCGAATAATTTTATGTGCATGATGTAACAAAATAAAAATAAAATTCATAAATGTCAAATACCCATCTCAAAATGAATGTCTCAAAAATCTACAGAATACATTTAAAATTATATTATCACGTTTAGAAAAAAGTTGATATAAGTATTCTATAAAAATTTCAGGTCTCTAGTATTATTTTCAATCGAAATAAAAAAAAAAAATATATAATAATAAACTGTTATTGCTGTACACTTCCCCGTTTTATCCTAGTTTGTCTTAATCATTATGAAAACTATTTGGAAAATTAAAAAATGACGCCAACAAGATCCATAATAAAAAAAAATAAGGCCTCTTGGAATTTTTTCCATTAAAATAACCTTTTGACTGCAAAAGTTGTTTACAGACAAAAAAACTACAAAAATTTAAAAAAAATCTTACTCGTAGTAAAATGAATATATTCTTTGTTCCGTTCATAATTTTAAAAAAAGACAAACAAATATACCTATATTTATTTAACACTTTCCTCATACTCAAAATCCAAAAGAGAAATCAAATTTTTATTTCGACAAAAAATCTATTTGAATATTAGAGATAGGTACCTAAAATAATTGGTAGACGCGTCAATAAAAAACTAAATATTATTCTTTTCAAAACACATTAGTGCATTATGGAAATGTGTAAACGCATACTACTTAGTACATACATATTTATAAGTGCAGTTTTGTTTTAAGTTTTAAACATTTTAATCGCTAATTAAATATTTTATGTTTAATCTATTAATTGCAAGTTTTATAAACCATAAATAACGGGAAATGCTTTTGAAATGTATAGACCTTTCAAAAAATAACTCTAAAGAATTACATTTATATAAATTATTTCGGTGTGAATTAAAAAAAAAACAAAAGCTGTCTTAGGATAATGGGGACAGGTGCAGCCACTGTTAAGGGTGAGAAATTGGGAATATAGTAGAGGAGAAATTTGATGTACATCTGTAAGCAACGAAAAAACGATTCTAAGCGGAGTTCAGTTAATATAATGATTCATTGTCAACAATATATTTGACATATTATGGTAAAATAATTTAATTAGCATTATGTATTTGCTTTAATAATAATTTTTTAATATTGTACCGAAATTCCCGTTTTTCCTACGTTTTTTTCGGTTTTTCACATTTGCTGGGAAAACTCTAGGGAAAATTGAAAAATGACTTCCCTTAAGTACCATCCCAAGAAAATTTACTTTTAGAAAAGGTTTTACATAGTATGCATCAGAATAAGCTTTCTGGTAAAAAAAGTGTTCACATAAAAAAAAAAAAAATAAACATCTTTGTAAAACTTATACATTATCTAGTACACTCAGAATCTAAACTGTAACTACATCTACTTAGCCTATTATATATCACAGATAAAATCGATTAGTTCACTAAAAGTATTGACGTGGTTTAATAGAAATGTTGTGTAATCTACTTACACCCCCTTTTTTTTTAGTAGTTCAATATTATGACATATATAATACATATTGGAGTAACATTAAATAGCAAACAAGTCTAAGTGTCTAAAAAATAAAACTTTTAAATGAGATAATTTACTGGTTTTTGTGTGCGTCTACAAAGAGTCAAGGCTAAACGTACCTACCTACGCGCTTGTATTGCAGTTCTTCTGGTTGTACAGACGTACGACAAGAAAAGAAACTATTGAATAATATATACAATCCATCAGAAAAGTAGGAAAAAACACACTTATAACTCGTATATCAACATAATGATTTGTTCGAAATGTTTAAAAGTCAAAATTTCTGTTCCTTATCAAGAATACAAATTTGTATCCCAGATAGTAAAAATATATTTTATTAAGATTTATAAAATATTATTATTAAAATGAAATGATTTATAAAATGTTTTATACTTCCATATTTTTCATTTAAATAATATTTAGAAAATAACGGATGGCCATACGATTTTCGCTTATTAAATATTTTAGAAACTATATTTTTCAAACATTTTTTTCTTGTTAAAAAAAAAATGCAAAAAAACGGAATTTCGTAATTTGCTACAGTCAGGTAATAAACCAGAGACCCAGCCTTATCGAAACTAATGCCCTATCAACTTGACTACTTATCTAATTATGAAGAAGTTGATTTTATGACTATGTAAGTAAATTTCAAAATATTATAATATATAGGTACAAGTACCTATCTATACAGTGACATCTCGAAATTGCGGACTTTTAAGGAACAGGAACTTAAACCTCCTCTGAATAGTACAAACCAGTTCCAGGGGTGGTGGGGGCGCGCCCCCTTTATTTGTTTATTGGTTATTTCGGTGTATTTTATCGTTTAACAAAATATGGTGACTTATATAAAAATGATAAGTGCCCCCCCCCCAAAAAAAAAAATGGCTACGGTAATGTATAACACTATAATATAATGTAATGACCAAATACAATAAATTAAAAATGCAAATTTAATTTAACTGCCAACTATACATTACAAATTATGTGTTTTTAGTTTATGTTAAGTTATATATGGACACGATGAGTAAATCTCGGTCGACCCGTTGTGGTCTTGGTGTACTTTTAATCGTAATAATATTTGTTTATATTAATAAATTTTTCCAATTTGGCGATTTCTGTGTTATAATCAATCGGTCGTTAGTAACCCAACGGTCTGTACTCGGAAAACGCTAATACTGTTATTATTATATAGATTGTTTATGCAGCTACGGGCATACATTAGAACAAACCCGATAATAAACTGCTAAATTCCAACGTAGAAAATATATATCTATACTATTTTATATTATTATCATGTCTATCTATGGTAGAATATCACAAAGAAATATAGAACTATTTTTGAAACGTAATATAATTATATAGATTTTAACAATATTGTGATCATATATTCAGGATTTTATTTGATTAATTCATCAATGATGTCATATTATTAATACATTTAAAATATCATTTTTAATAAATCGTTTATAATAATATATTCATATCATTTAAAAATTTGTTATTAATAATATACCGATCTATTATATTATTTAAAAATTCGTTATTAATAATATATTCACATTATTATTTTACAAAATATTTATTCGATACACTGTCAATATTTATTTAATAATATAATATTATATATAATATTATCATTATGGATATGCTATCTGGGATACTTATAAAGGTAGATAGACATATTTAATTTTAATTTCAGACTGGTTTATGTATAAGATACATAGCGAAAATATAGGTTATTCGAATGAGGATATTCTAACTATAAAATAAATTAGAATATTAATAGCCAGTGCATCACAGTAAAAGTTGCTGTCCCTATCTAACGGGTAGTATAGCAAAAATGCTTTTTTACTTTCATTAGAACTCCGGATCTAATAGACTTAAAATAAAAAATAATTCATTCAAATTAAAGACAACGACATTATAAACTACGGTTTCACGTGGGGATTTGCTGATTTATAATTTATCATATATTGTTCTAATAAGACAAAAAAAGAAAGAGTATCCACACGACCACACTGCATGCAGATACATCGATACATGGGTATATCTTGTAGTTATTAAATTCAGTCGACATAGGAATGTCAAATTCGAACGGTTTAGCGCAATTATTGTTCGATACGAGTATACGAGGACTGTGCTATTATAGGTAACTTTGTTGTCACGTGTAAAAAATAAAATTCTTATAAAAATAAATATATTACATTAAACTCAAATTTTTCTTGTTGATCGTTAAGTACCACTTATAATAAATGTCCTGTTAAAAATTGTCAAACATTTTTCATTTTTGTTTGGTGTAACAATTTTATTCACAGAGTACCTACCGAATAAATAAATTATAATTATATAATTATAAATAAAATAATATAGATAAATATATAAATAAAGTTCAAAAATCAAAATGTCTAATAGTTTAAAAATGACTCAAATGTTTTGCAAATTTTACCACGCCTATAAAAGGAAAATATAAGGTTTTTGTCAAAATTGCAAGTCTCTACGAATATTTTTTAGTGAATTACAATAAAAAAAACAAAATTGAAAATAATAAAAGCATTGTAAATTTCGTAAATTTTCTCGTTTTTCCTGCGTTTTTTCTCGGTTATTTCCATTTATTATGAAAACTCTTGGGATAATCAAATAATTACATATCTAAAACACCAGCCCGAGAAAATTTCCTTTCAGAAAAGACACTATACTTGATACTTTTTAGGATTTCTGGTAGAATTGTTGTACACCGTATAAAAAAAATAACATCTTTGTAAAACTAATACACTCTTCGCTACTCTAAAAATCTAAAATATAGTCACTTTGAAGTAACACGTTATAAGTTTTTGAAGTTAAGATTTGATGGAGAAAATCATCTTGTTTTGGGGACCTAAAAGACTAGTAAAATGTTATTAGACATAGGTTGAATTGTTTCAACCGTTTAGACTCTGAGTGTAACAAGAAATTAATTTTAAAAGTTTATTATAGTTATTATAGCTAAAGTACAATTCCTGACCTCCCAAAAGAGACGATGATATGTAAAAGAAAAATAACATTGTCGTAAAAGATTTAAAATGATTTTTTTGTGACATCAAAGAAAACCATTATCCAATCATCCAGGATATAATAATTAAAACAAATTATATACTTCAGTAAATCCTGATTTATAGAAGGAAAAAAAATGTAATTATTTAAAAACTTAAAAAAAATATGTACAAGCTTATATAAGTATACGAGTTTATACATAAATTATAATTTCATAATTTTCGTTAAAATATGTTTCTCCGAATTTCCATAATATTCTCTACGGTTTATCATCGGAATTATAATATGCCTACCTAAATGCTATTTAAAATAATATAGAAAATGGAATCCTGTAGTATATAGGGTTTGACTGCATATTATACTTATAACAAATTGAGACTCAATGAAACCTACCTGATGTCTTGACGTATAATTATGTTTTACGCGTTGACCTTAGGCCTGCTGAAAATAATCATATGCATAATGTTTAATATATATCCTGAAAATGTATTGGGGGGGAACGTTCCCATTAAGCAAAACGTGGATGGCTACACCTAAAGTCAGTCGGTCGGTTATTTTTCCTACATTATTTATTTTTATTGCCTATAATCCGTTAATCCGTTAACGCCGGGTGGTCCAAGAACATAGGCATATATATATATATATAGGATATACAGATATAAATCCGTGTTCGAGATGTATTTTTAATTTATGTATATCCGCTATATTGCATCAGAAAATGCATTTCTAAAAAAAAAAAAAAAATAAATCGGGCCTATAACTAGATTTCATTCATTTGAAAAATATAAAGGTTAGACTTATATACGATTAAAAACGTGTTTAGTGTGATACATACACACACATATATTATATTAATATATACTTTGTTTCAATATGAGAAGAAATAAGAATTCACGACACGAAATATAATAAATAGGTAGGTAAGTTATAGCGAATACAAATTAATGTCGGTTAATGTTTTGTTTAAAACTATGTATCAAAAACCGGTAATTTATAGAATCGGAAAGTATTAAATATAAAAAAGTGTCACATTTAAAACACTTAAAATCGATAAAAGATAATATAAGACAATGACTTAAATACGATAATAAACATTAGATTACAAATCGGTTACAATGGTCTAGAAAAGTAGGAAGTATGTTCGACTCTAAAAGTGGCGTAGCTATCGCAAAAGCAACAGAGGCAGTTGCCTTGTAGCGTAAAATGTTTTTGGGGGCTTAAATGTATGATCACAGGTTAGGTTGATTATCAAGTATTCAGTAAACAAATTATTATGGTTATAATTGAATCAATATAAACCTGTATGTTAAGCGATCCTAATAGCAAGTTGTTTATACCAATTTAATTCATATGTAACAGCTATAGGGGCGTTATTAAGGGGGAAAGATATGGGGGATAGATCCCTTCATGAGTTATATTTAAATAGTATATTGTTATTTTGTACAAATTGAAAGTTCAAATGCTAATTTAATAGAAAACTTCCGAGCCCTGGTGATAAGTTATTAAATGTTGGTAAGGAGGGGATTGTGTGGGGCTAATGAAATTGTCATGAAGATTTATTTTGATATCCCTCCCCTAAAAACATTTTCAATTACGCCACTGAACAGCTGTAATGACAACTGATAAAACTGGTAATATTATAACCATACCATTGATTAAATAATATACATAGTATATTAATACTAAAAGACCAGTCTGATATTTCAAGTTGGATATTATGCAGTTATCAGACAAATTATAGGGAGATTGTAGCCTCAAAGATCCAAATCAACATTGACGTCAATAATTACAAAACTCCATCACGTCCAAACCAGATACTGTTCTAAGGAAGTGTTAATATCCTAATAGGATATTAACCTAATATAAAACTAAAATCTAAAAATATTAGTCATCGAATAACCACATCGGGGTGATATATGTAAATTAGGAAACTACTATATAGAAAATGGTACATTGTGTGTATAGTACATTTTAAAGTTAAAAAGTCACTACGACGGCGGGCAGTAAATACACAAGAACTACAGTACGGAATTAAAGTAATATGTAATATTTAAAATATCGTTCCGACACCTCTATATTTTTCTAACAACCATAATTCTCTAGGTTAGGCTAACTGTAATTATATTTATTTAAATAGTTAGGCACTCGGTTAATTATTTCGAAAGAAACGTGAATATTTACACACTCGTCAATAACTAAACAATACTATTAAAATGCAAAATAGGTATGCGTATGTTTATTTTCATGAATAGAATTGGCATAGTCATATTTTAGATAGTTAAAACGTATTAACAATAATAATCACACCAGAAGTGTTATTTAATTGCCGTATGATATAAAAAAAACTACACGCTGCAGCAAAATTTAATTTAAGAATAGTACATTAGTATTTATCTAATAACTGAAATTATAATAAAAATTAATATTAATTTATAAATGAAAAAAGAAAACGAGATGTATATGTAAACAATTAATGGATAAGTAAATAAACGAATAGTAATTATATACCGGTAAATATATAGACAATATGACGTATGTGGTATCAATGTTAGTGGTTTAACGTTTTTACCATTGAATAAAAACGGTGGGACTGTAAGATGATACATTTTTCGGGAATATTCTAAGTGCGCTCCGTTCAACATTTTTAACTTTTTCATAACCTGAGTGTATCCAGTATTGACAAATTATATTAATTTGTCTGAAGCTGTAAGTACCCATTTTAAATTTAAGATAAATTAATAAAATTTAAACAGTGGGAGAACAGAATTTTATTTAAATTTCAATAATAACTAAGCTAGACTACGGCTAGCAGTCGCGTAGCCTTTTAGTGAACGAAAAAATGAAGAAGTGCCGTCATTTTTGTCGTATCTAATACTAAAGTAGGGTAAAAAATGTCATTTTCAGATAGCATGTTAAGCCGACGTGGTGAAAAAATAATTATTTGTTCCTTAGTAGAAACGAGGTCTAGATAATTAAAATCTCGCAAAATTAAAATCTCGACAAGACCTAGTAAGAATGTCACTCAAAATTTTGTCATATTTTTTCGTATTTTCATATAGGGAATTTGCTAGAGTAAAATAATAAAATATGATCATATTATGTTCTAAGGTGAAAAAATAAATTCAGTGTTATTACATCTATTGGAATTTTCACTACTATTGGGATTTAAACCTTATTAGGATTTTGAACTTTCAGGATTTTGACTCTGTTGGGATTTTGAAAACTCTTGGTTGGAACATACTGGACATTCAAAAGCAATGCGGCTGATTGTCTGTTTTTTGACACTGCAGTCGCATTCAGGTGAGTTAAACATGTTCTACTTATATAAAGAATCTGTACGACTATTATGAGACGTGCGTATTTGGGACGCATGTTGTTGTTAAGAGTAGAACCACTAAATTCAATTTAGAATTTTGCATTGGTGAGTTTGTTATTTAGATGGAAGCAGGTTGATTCAGTTTTATTAGACTCGAGTTTTAGTCCCTAGTCCCGGAGGTGCAAAGCCACGATAGAAAGGTCTTCTGATAGTAATATTTCTGATATTAACAGGTTTTTAAATTGAATTACTATTAATATCGGCATACTTGAATTTGACATGAGTGGGTTGTCGAAATATCGGCTGTGCAGTGTTAATAAATGTTTAAGTGAAACGCATTCGTAGTAAACGATAAAACACACTGCACTCTACATATGTGTGTTTTTGACCAGTCTTTTTTAAATCAATATGACCTTTGGAGTCAAAGAAAACAAAGATGATTAAATTCGATCGCCAAGAGAGACTGAGTGCATCTAGTTAAAAACATATAAAAATTGTTGAGTCAATTAAATAATTTTTATTACAACGTTAATTATACAATATTGTTATTAGTATGATCGTGAATTCATTGCTGGTTGATAATTAATTTACTTTATACTTTAACTACATGTCAAATAAAAAAAATAAAATAAATTGACATTTCGTTAATTATATAAATTATGAATGATGTTCGAATTTGTTTTAAGTGAATAATTACAATAACTAAAATAGGGTTAATTGATAGTTTAAACATTTTGTTCGAATCGCGGATGCTCAATACACTGAATTATTATTACTCAGATAATTAACCTATAACGGTAAATGAGATATTAAGCGAGCCCAATATTAATAATAAAGCTAATAACAAAAAAAAAGAGTTGATACTGGGGATGGGAGTGGCCACTTTTGTATGTGAGAAGTTAGGAAGGTAGGATACATAAGGTTATTTAATTTATATCTGTAAGCAACGATAAACCATTGCTACGAAAGACGATTCCGAGCGCTGTTCGGTAATATATAATTTGAAGTGCCGTAATATTTTTTGCGATTTTCGTTTAGATTTGATGTCAAAACGTTTATTAAAAAAAAATAAAAAAAATATATGGTCTATTCTCATTTTTCAATTGGAGCCATACTTTTGCTAGAAAACGTGGTAGGTACTTATTTAAATAATGAAATCTTGAAAAAATCGTATTTTTTTCCTGGTTAATCGTTTTTATTTTAAATACCGTTTCGAAAATCAAAAAATGACAAATGTATTTACCAAGTAAAAAAAATTGAATTTCAGAAAAGGTGCTACACTTATACATCAGAGCAAGTTTTCTAAGATAAATGTGGTCTACAATGTATATATAAATATATGTATACAAAATTAAGTACCATTTTAAAAAAATTCAAAAAAAAAAAAAGTCGTCCGGTAATTTTGAAAATTTTACCACTTCTAAGTAAATCCAATATAAGTAGTATTACCAAGTTTCAAGTTTCTACGTATGTTTATAACTGAATTACAGCAAAACAACTCCCAGAAATTAAAATTCCTTGAAAGCTCAAAAAAGGCTCAAAAGTATTAGCGATATTACCATCACAAAGTAAATCAACAAGGAAACAAAAAAGGTATCGTGTGATTTTTTGATTAAATTAATTTTTCTGGTAGAAAACGTCGTCCGTGTTTTTATAAAATAATGAAATCGTGAAATTGTACGTTTTCTTACGTTTTTTCCCACTTAAGTGCTTTTATTTAAAAAAATGGTATCGAAAATCAAAAAACAACTAACTTAAAGTACAATCTAGACAACTTGAACTTTTAGAAAAAGTGCAATTCATAAAGAATGGAGCAAGTTTACTAGGAAAAAAATTGTCCATAGACTAGAACAAAGAAAGAAAAAAGAAAAAGAAATTAACAGAATTGTAAAACCAATAGTTCCATCGCTACGCTCGGAATCTAAAAAACCAAAAAATATTGAAAATATAGAAAATAATGTTTTAAAAATATTTTTAGAATTTTTTGAAAATTGCATCATGTCTATAAACGACAAAGTCAGGGCAGTAGTTGAGTGCCAATCAGAGGAAAGTCAAAGAAACTTCGGATGGACGTTATACGGCAATATCCATAGAGTGATTGAAAGTAACGAACTGGAAATAAGGATCCACGACTGGCGAAATTACTGGACACACAGACAGTGGCGGTTAAAATACTTAAACAATTATACCATATATATATAATAAACACGACGAATTTTAAATATTTAACTAGATATTAGTAACAAATATATAGTTAAAAAAATTAAACGTGTTGTGTAATTACCACACAAAACTTGAAGACTATTTAAAATTTTACACGACGTATACAAAATAATGACTAGGAACACAAGATATACGAGAATATAATTATTATTGTACCTATAGGCAGAGCATAAAGCAATGCACCTAAGTAGGTTTTTTTTAAAAATAATTTTTATTTTCACTTTACGTCATAAAAACTATTGACGTTGCCATTATACGAACCAACCGTATACATGAAGCATATAACTGCTGTCGATACCCGACCAGAATACTAATAATTGCTGTAGACACACATTGTCTTGTTAATCTAATTTACAAATTGACAATAAATTAAAATCATATCGCATTTGAGCCTAAATGTCGATTATGTTAATGGGAAAAACCGTTAAGGCGTTAACTAAATATTTTGCTTAGTCAAAGTTCTCCGTATATCTATAACTTTCTTATATTATGTTAAAATAAATATCGTGGATACCTAGTTTCATAAATGTATCCAAATATTCCAAGGCTGATAACACAACTGATGTTAATTTGTATGCACGATAACGAGTGTCATTTGCTGCAATATTAAAGTATGATGTACTTAATAATATTTGTAACGACGGTGGCCTTTTAATCGATCTAGTCAAACACAGTCGGTCAAGGGAATACAATACAATATAATATCTACTATTCTTATCGCGATTAAAATATGCATATACTATCAATCTATATAGGGTAGACGAGAATTTGGTATTTTTAAATGTTACATATTTTCAATGAGAAAAAACGTCAATTCCTCATGATATATTACAGGTACACATGAAAAATAAGAATTTTGATGATTGACGAATACGAGGTATGTATATAGGTCCGTCAACGAATAGGGAGACGTCTAAGCAGCATATATCCACTACAAAATTCGTTACGCGTAGTACGACATTTATGAATGTGTGCACTGCATTTTAATATAATTTGTGAATTTTTTTTTTTTTAACTTCATTTCTTGAAGATTATTTGAAATCCAGAATTTATATTATTGCATAATGTGTAAAATCTGATATGTTTCAGTAATTTGTCCACACCGAATGTAATTTAAACTTCTCCGTTGTTTAAAATTATTTTCTTTTAAATTCTCATGTTCTGTGCAAATATTTAATGGTGTCAAGATGCATACTTTCCTTGAGTATATGGGTTCCGGCAATTAATATTATTCAAGAAATAGTAAGATGAATATGAGTATATCTAAGGGGACTCGAGTGTGAAGTACCCCCACACTAGATAATTTGCCGTATCCACATTAAAGTGCATAATACAAAAAATTATTAAAAAAAAAAAAAAAGTACTCAGGAATTGTTCACTTAATCGTTTCAATGATAATACATTGTACATGCATAATAATAATTATTTGAAATTTGTTTGATTTATTATTTGTCTAAACACCACCGGTAAATACGAGTATGTATCCATATTCCATATAAAACAGAATTTAAATTCTCGGACGTTAACGTAGGTACCTATATGGTAACTAGTTGCAAGTCAAAATATTTTAAGGTCAAGACTAAAATATGTTCAAGACATCTTTAAATCTCGAAGGCATTGTATTTGTATGGAAACCAATCACGGCCTTAACCTTTTTCGTAAACGGTATAATCGATCGGTCGTAATAATAATAATAATAATAACAACAACAATAAATTACAAAGCATGGAACTTTTACTATTTTTCGGCCTAAAGTCATAGTTTTTAATGAGTTTGAAAAATATAATAATAATAACAATTGTGCAATCCGCGCAGTAAAAATATAAGAAAAGGCCGAAATCGAATATTTTTCCTTATTTGTGTTGTCTATAGTAACACCGGCAAATGTATAGTTACCAGGCAAGGACATTACACCTATTCTATATGTATTGTATACACAAATATAAATCATATTATACGATTTCAATAGCCGCACGCACTCGTATTTTAACGAACGTTAGCCCCGAAAACCTAGTATATACGTAATATTGGCAAAGTCGTGTTAAGGATGTATACCTACACTTCGCATAAAGATTCGTATATTATAGTTCTTAATGTGCGAATTGTGATGCGATATTTTTAACCATCATTCTCCGTTTATTCAATTTCAATTGGTTTGCGGTTGAATACAAAACCGTAAACACTGCGCTATACTGGACTGTGTTGTTATAATAATATGAGAATACATAGCCTTGCTGCATAGACGTGTACGTATTATATTGTATCTATATACTCGACAATATCATTCTTAACCTCTTTTACACGTGTGAGGACCGCGCACGAAATTAAATAACTAATGCGGTATACTTACTATAATATAATAATAATTGTTCTAAAATCGTGATTTAAAACGCGGATATATCCGTATTTATTGTGGATATAATCGCTGAAAATATATACGCGATAATAATTTAACTCGATAATGGTTGGATTCATTCTTTCTGGTAAACTAAAACCTAATATAAAGTATTTAAGTCAAATCCAAAAAAATATTTTAGATTGTAAGCCGAGCGAGGAATGTAATGGTTTTACAATGATTTTTTTTTTTTTATTTGTGAACACATTTTCTATACCAGGAATCTTGCTCCGATTTTCAAGTATAATACTTATTCCGAAAGGAAATTTTTTTGGAGTGGACTTTAAGAAGATTATTTTTTGATTTTCCGAAGGGTTTCATAATTAATGAGAAAAATCCAGAAAAAACGAGAAATTTTTTGAAATGTATTATTTTCAAATCATAAATATTACAGCCATTCAAAACATGTATAACCGAACTCCGTTCAGAATCGTTTTTCGTTAGTAATGATAAACCATTGCATACAAATATACATTAAATTTTCCTTCTATTTTCCAACTTTTTACCTACAACAGTGACCATCGATGGAAATATGTATGTCCTTTTTGTTTTTTGTTTTTATTCTAACGGTTTTAATTTAACTTAACAAGTAGGTAAAATTAATTTTTTGTAATTTTTAACATTTAAGTCCTATACGAATTAAAAAAACAAAATTATCTATTAATGTTGTCTATATTTAGGCCGTTATAGTTGCATTAAATTTGTCGGTTCTGTCTTTCTAACAGACGATATACTCAAAACGTGTTTACGTCGTAAAACAAACAAAAATTCCTTTAAAGTAGGTTTCATCACATTTCATCTACAATTTTTAGATGAAAATATTCTCAAGACCACCTCGTTGGTGCTTTAAAACTCTCTAAATATTTAAATCATAATCGAAGGTACAAAAAAAAAAGTATATTTTATATATATATATATATTTTTTTTAACAATTGTAATTTAGTTTAAAATCAAAATTAAAAGAAAAAAAACCACTGATAGAGGATGTATTATTTATACATTTTATAATAAGTGTTAAATCACAGTTTTAGTGAGTTGTGTCTTTAAAACTGACTTTAAAGACCTTTTCATTTGTTTTATGTGGACACATCTTTGCTACACTGCCGTTATATTATGTTCGTTAGAAAAACAGAGATGAAAAATATTACTCATGGAGGCATTTGGAGGACCCAATGCATACAATTTCATACAAATATTTAACAAAAATCCTCACGGGGAAATTGTTTGTCACTGATCTCACCCTCCCCATACAAAAATTATGTGTACGCTACTGATACTATGAAAGTCTCTTAAGTATTAATGATTAGACGTATACAAAAGTTTATAAATTCATTTGGATTCCAATAAATACAAGACAAAATCTGAGAAATAATTGAACATTAAACCTAAAAGAAAAATATGTATAATTTCCAAAAATTAAGAACATCGACACAAATATTGCTGTCATGATGATGTATATTTGGGCCAAAAAACAATTCTCGAGTCTTCGGTTATAAAAGTAGTTTGGACTACGGCAAGTTTGAAAAGTTTTAAAACGGACTTTAATGAAAATGAATAGAAGTGAACTCAGCGATGGTGTAAAATGTCTATAAAATAAATTTTTATATGCTATTGGAATAATTTTGTAAAATAATATAAAACTTCCACATATATCATATGATCGATAATGTTAAGTCATATATTTGTAATATTTTTTATTTCAGACAATAATACTATATGATGATGCCTATTTCATGAATTTTATTTATGTTGCTTTATAATGAACGTGCAATACAAAATAATACTTAGGTAGTTACAGTAGGAAAGCAAAAATAATTGAAATCGTTGTGTGCGCGTGTGCGTATTCTGAAACGACGAAGTTTGAATTAATTAAAAGTAGGCAGGTATAGGTAGTACTAAACCTTCATCGTGCAGTATATTGTACTTAAATATTAATTCATTTCCGTGAGAACGAAAAATAAAAATCAATTTTTTAGCGAATCTATACGAGTCAACCTACGTTTTAAAAATAAAATATGTCTAATATTTGATGGAACAATTCAAACAAATAAAAATCGATGTGCCAGTAATGCAATCTAATATAAAAAATGTTTGAACGTTTGTGTTTTGCTATTTGATAAATTTACTGAAAAATGATTAGACTATAAGAATAATTATTGTAATAATGACTAATGAGCAGTGATGTGATCAGAAATTTTCAATGGGAGGGGATTTAGTGAATATTGATCATAAATAAACCTAATATAGAATCTAAGATTAAGTTAGGTTAGAATTTAATGCTTATCCAACTCAAAAAAATTAAAACTTAAAAGCCAAATCCAAAAAATATTATTGTTAATCAATAAATCGAGCTTTTCCTTAAAACTTGGCTGAAACAGGTACATACATTTCAAGATTAAATTACTAAATATATTTTTCATATTTCGAAGTTATTACAGATGTTTAACTAGGCACCTTAAATTTTTATTATAGATACCTACCTACCAAAATGGCATAAATTTAAGTTAGTTGGTTGGGTGTATTTTTAGCGAATAAGTACTGGTAGCAACATGAATATATGAAGTAATTGTTGGTGTATGTTTAGAACTTTAACGTAAGACTACAAAAAACGTGAAATGTCTAGCCTTACAGCACCCGATTCTTTTGGGGGGCTTGGGCCAGCCTTTCGCTAGGGTACAAGTAATGCATGCGTTGCTTTAGGGTAGCATACAATTTTAAAGAAATTGAAGTAGCTAAATGAGTAGCAATACAATTTTCGATTTAGGGTAAAAAATATCTTATGACGAGCCTGGATTGTCGTGAAATTCATTTGGATATTTTTCTGAAATTGCTTTTTTAAACTTAACTCCACTAATGTTTACAACTATTAGTCATGTACAGTAAACGTATGAAATTAGAAGGTTTAATTGCTTATACACAAATGCATTAGAGTTTGAAAAAAAAGAACAGTTATTATAACATCAAAAACTATTTCATCATCACGTTTATACATGACGATCTAGCGAATTAAAAAACAATTACCTAATAATAATAACGTGTTATTACCGACAGTGATAACTATTAAAATTCGTCTAGGGACCTGTCTAATTAATTTAAAAGATCGAAATCTAATTTCGCGTTGGCAGGTGGTGCGTTACATCAGATAATAAACGCACTTCGCATTATATTGTGTCAAAGAGATCAGTACAGAGTGTTTCACATGAATATATTATTATCATATCGTGGGCAATCCGTTGGTAGGTATACAAAATTTATTCGACCAAAACGATATTATCATCCGTGATGTGCTATCAAAAAATATCATCTTCCTTGAAAACGATGTATGCGATGAAATAATTCTAATGTCTTTTTTTTTTCTTGTCGTCCACGGATTTCCCCAAGGTCAACAGTTGGTCAACTAAATCCCGACGGGAAAATTATAAATTCCTAACGAGCGCTCATTGGATCTACTGACGTATTCGAGTATAGGTCCGTAGAGATCCGTGAACTTAATCGTCATCGTCACCGTCCAGTATGTAGTATGCCGCGTGTCGATTGAAATTCGAGTCGGTATATATTATACGAGCGCGTGACATGGTAGACAAGTGATTCCGTACGTACGTATGTACGTAAGTAGGTACATGAGAACAAAACGAAAATCCCGAGTCAATATTGGCTGTGCTGCAGGTGATAATTAATAATTTCAAAAAGTGCACAAAAAGAAAACAGAAAAATATAATATATACGATGACCAATGTCACATCCTGGTATATGAGTACAGACAGTATATCTGACGTGTAAATCGGTGAGTTCATACGATTTGGAGAATTGTTAAACATTACCGAATAATTCGATGACGATTCATCACAATTCGATTTTTTTTTTTTTAATATAGTTGATATAAACGGAAATGAACACGAAAACAAATACAGTATATTACGTTAATTACGATAGGCGTGATGGGGAACAATACGCGATGGATGTCGATCTTAAAAACAAAGATAAATTATTCATATCTGTTGATTTTTTTTTAAAAGAAAAAGGTATTTTATGATATATTCCATGCACATTTTGTAATTAAAAAAACACGTGTGAGTCATAACTTTTAAGCGGATTTAGTTTGGGGAGAAAAAAAGGATTTACATTATTTTGCGAATATTTTCCATCGTAGGTAATTGGTTTTAAAGGCACAGAGTACAAGAGAGTAGCAAATGTACAGTAAAAAAAGTTTTGACCGAGAACCATCTGAAAACCTAATGCTTTACATTAAATATTCGAAAATTACCACGCTGCAGGTAACTGCCATAAATAATTCTCTCGGGTTCAACAAACTGCGGAACACGCCGCAAACAAAATGCAATATAATGCACATCATAATCGTACAACGTAAAACACAAAATCAAAGACGGGCTATAATCATTAACATTTGATCGTCTCCAACTGTATGTAGTAGGGTTGATAAGATCAAAGATACGTAATTGTTATTATTGTTAGTTATTGTTGTTACCAATTTACACGACTACCGATGGCGTAAACATACGGAATTTGTCATTGAAATCCTGCATATTTTGTAGGAACGTTACTACCCAATAATAATAATAATAGTAATTGAATATGTACAAGATTCACATGGAATAACAATGGATCAATGATTATAGGAAAACATATTCGTTTTCTGTAGTAATATAGGTAGGTAAGCCGATAGTAATGGTAAACAAAAAATAATAATAATAAGAAAGACCCGGAAGCGTAACGATATATTATTACTACGAAGATGAGCGATAAATTATCGTGATAATAATTATACATAATATAGGTATCATCATTCGTCTTTTTATCTTCTACTTGTCATTGTGATCTTTAAATACACTGTGTGTGCATGAACTTATGAAATCGTGTTAACATTAACCTTGATATTGATGAAAAATAACATCGAAGAAAAATACGAGTCACTTGAATTACCTACGTAAAATTACGTAGGACATTAGTTGTCCTGCGTATTACTGGTGATGATTGGGTGGGTAGGTGATGAGTCAAAATGGGATGAAATATTACGGTTTTATGAAATTTGGAGTGATAACTTAATGGACGTACCAATGAATGTAGCTAATGTATGTACACATTGAATAGGTATCTTAAATTTGTATTATAACAGAAAAAATACAATTTAACGATACGTAATACGATTTTGTTTTAAATGTAAGGCGCATTCCCATAATGCATTGGGTCAACCTGAGAGGGATTTGAGGGGGAGTCAGACTTGTAATGTAGATATTGGTTTGATATGAGAATAAGAAAAAAAAAATACGTTATTCGTTATAACGTATGATTATTATTTTTTTTATTATTGTTTTTATAAACCGGTAATCACCGAAAATAAATAAATATGCCTTTTGGTGGACGGGCGAGTGTTTGATATACTTGTCGTTTTGTTTTTTACTGCGGCGCCGCTGATGATAATTATTATGGGGTCTGTCTAGAAGGGTTTGTTATAGTATATCGACGATTATTTATTTAAAAGTTTATAGACAGTCAAAATATTTTTTTTCGTCTGAAGACCACATATTATCAATATCACATTTCTATAATATAACGCGAATATGTGTGCGGTTTTGTACACGGAATGAAAAAGGTCACGCTGTCTAAGTACATAACTGTGTTGTACCCAAAATGGCAATGGCAATTACTACTGGAGTGCGTACAATTCTTTGTACTCGTACCGTTACAATAAAAATACGTTGAAAAAACCCATGGCAATCAACAGGTATTTAAAAAAAAAATAAAAAAATATAGGTACAAATGATGATTTTCTATAATCATATATAATACGCGAAAATTACAGTAGTAAATTACAATAATATTTTATTCGTATATTTTAATACAAAGAAACTTAATTGGGTATTTTATTTTCGCAGTGATTTCGAGTAGTTTAATTTGTAAACGAATTATGCAGGTAACTAATTGTGCACTTACACGGCGCACAACAAGCGTTAAACAACACCTAAGTATTTACGGGCCGAATTTTACTGTCGTAAAGACGTTATTATTTCGATGACGGTACTTGTAAAAACGCTGCATTGACGTGTGCTGGGAAATGTTTTTAACTACAACTCGTATACAAATATATTGATATCGTATCCATAATATCTATAATACGAGTATTTCAATGTTTGAGTATATACTCGTAATGTTTTAAAATAATTAGTTATATTACACTGATATTAGTATCATTACACAATTTTGAACCTTAGTAGACAAATTACTACCTATGGGCGAACAATATTGTTGCCAAATAACTTTCTATAGCTACCTACCTATAATTGGACAAAACGGGATGGCTGGTATGCATTTTATGTTTATTTGAAATATACTGTTTACACTTTATATTTTTAGTTGTAAATTGATAGCTTTAATGTTTTACCAATGAAATATGTAATAGGTACACTTGGACGTTCAAATTTGCTTCAGAATGTTACATAAATCATGTGGACATTTGTCGAAATTCAGTTAATCGTGTAGAAACCTAATATTTTATTAATAATTATATTAGCTATATACCTATTCTAGACGTGGTCAAATTTTCAACAAATTCTGGTGATTTTCGAGCAATTTATAGGTATTTAAATACTTCGGGTATTTTTTTTTTGTTTGTATTTATTTGCTACATACAATATTTTTCGACTAAATGCTCGGGAATTTAACACGAGGGTTTTTCAAAACAAATGATTTATTATTGAAAAAGTCGGATTCACTCTTCGTATATTTGATTTTAAAACCTAATTTATATTTTATACACTAAACAGATCACGTACCTAACACACTTTGCCCATACTATTAGTCTATATTATAATATCGAGATTTTATTCATTGTACCCAAAACTTTGAAAAGTCGTAATGAATTCGCGAGGGAGCTATAAAAATTCGGGTTTTTTGCTATGGACCGGTGGTTTTTTTTTTTTTTAGTTATAATTTCTATGTATTATATCATACGTAATATCGTAAGTATTTAAAACGAACCGTTAACCAATTATATTATTATATACGTGGTGGTTACGTACCATATATCAAGGCTGACCGCTTATTTTTGATATTGGGAAAAATGTGTTATTATCATCTCTTATAACTATTGCTCTAAAACTGTTTTATTTATACTATTATATACTGTTAAAAAAAAAAAAAAAAAAAAACAAATACATTTTTAATTAATTATCATAATGTTATAAAATTTGTTATTACCGCGCGTTTACGAATATTATTATACTATCGCGAACAGTACCCTTGAAAGCGTTATAATTTTTTATTTTATTAAAAACTAAATCAGTTTGAATTACGCAAATATACCTATAGATATTCTAATATAGGTTAACATAATACCATACACTTAAATATTAAAATAAATCGAAATTTCTCATACAAAACCGTTTAAATGTGTGTCTACTCTATGCAGTTTTATCCTTTGCGGTAAATATATTATATTATACACGTATATAAATAGAACGCGCGGTTTAAAGAATACGCCAGATAGGTACAGAACCTTGGAGAGAATAGCGAAATTGTACGTATATAATGCGTGTATATTATTATTATGACGGTTAGGCAGGTATACAATATAGTTGTTAAAACTGGATAGTGTATTAGTCACTTAAAAATCACTAAGGCTCTCATTGTTTCGTCACTGAAAACCGTAATATCACGTTCAGTTTATATACGTGTGCACCGTGATACACCCGTTTAATAATATTAATTACGATACCGATATACATAATATAACGTCTAATGTTGTACGGTTATTTCAATAATAATTCGTACAATACGGGTATTGTACGCGTTGTATTCCTTTCTTTGCTAAAAACATTATAGAAGAATACCCGCAGGTACTCGTTCATGATGTATAGGTAAATCGAATGCACCCGATTGTTTTGTAATGTCGAATAGCACATCTTTCACTGAGGAAAAACTACGTGAACCACCCTGATGGTAACCGATACCAAAGTTGGACAATGACTGGTAAAAATGCGATAAGTTACTATTTTTTAAAACTTAACTAGTTTAAAAAAAAAAAATAGACGTTTAGAAAACAACTCATTTAGTAAATAATTTTAAAAATAGTTATATTTTTAAGATTCAGGTTATGTATAAAAAAGCATTTTTCGAATTTTTTAAAAAAAAAACTGTATCCTGTTTTTTATATTTATTTTTCGACGAAAATCTTTACGTGAATATCATTATCGCGTAACAAGGCGGGAATGTGGCCTATGCAGTGATATGGGGAATGCACATACGCGAGTCTTGCACATGGTATAAACCTATAAAAGTTTAAATATTTGAGGAAAAAATTCGATTACGAATGTACGGTAAAGAATAATTTAAAAAAAGTAACTTTCAATATTTAACTGAACTAAGTTGTAGTGATCCTTTTCGTGAAAATCTATATTGACTTTAATTTAACTTATTTATTATTATTATTTATATTTTTTTTTTTAACTTTCATTAACTTAAACTTATGGCTTTGTCATAACACCTATATGTTACGATTACGTTATTCGAAATTTACGAAACTCACCGATGGTGCAGAACGGTTTCCTCTCGTGATTGGACGCGTTGGACGTCCCGTCTCTGGAACTGGTGGACGAGGTCTCAGTAGTGGAGCCTCTGGCCTTTTCCGTTACCAGACACGGCCACTTTACGTCGTCATCCATGACTTTTTCGTCCAGAGGATTGTCTTTCATCAGCGACGCGTTCAAATTCAACGCGGCCATGTTCGTTTTGTAATAGTTTCGCTGCTTTTGATCCATTTTCCGGCCGCACGAGTCGACTGTACGATATAATAATACGAAATATTTCTCCTGTGATTGTAGGACGGCGGAATGCGGTCTGCACAGACTGAACGCTGGACAAATATCTGCAGCTTCGGTATCCCGTGTCCCGACGGATTACTCCAGTACCATATTTCGTTAATAATACAAATATGTATAGCCGTCGCGATAAACGTCGTCTGCAAACGAAAAATAAAAATTAAATAATCAATAATTTTCATTTCTTTTCGACTACCGATCAATAAGTGGCGATATTTATATCGGGTACGTATATATTTTACGAACGGACTGCCGTCGCCGTCGCCATTCAGACGTAAAATGCATTTTATATTACAAGGCGAACCGCAAGAATACTACTTTCGTTCGTAATAATATTGTTATTAGTTAAGTATATCTATAATAATAATTATTGTGTTAACCGGAGAGCGATAAGACAATAAATCTTTCGACGACCGCAACGCTGATCGTACCGACTTAAAATATTGCACTTAAATTAATTAATCGAAAATCCGAAGAAGAAAAAAAAATTCCTCTTCGTAGTCGTCGGCGTGATGATCCGACGTGATAACGCCGGCTTGTCTTCATACGACGGCGGTTACATGCGCACGGTGTGAAAATTACGATACAGAAATACGTAGGGAAATGTTGTTTTATATTCAGTAATATTATCGTAGGCAGGAAAAATAATCACTAATTAGAAGTATTTCGTTTATGTAGAATTTAGCAGGCCGCACGAGAAATATAGAATAGCTTGGTGCTGATGTTACAATAGAATAAACTAACATTGTTTAACAATATGTGATTATTATTTCTACCGTTGCGTTACAGTTTTTTTTTTTTTTTGTATTTGCAACAGAACTTTAAACTTTGAAGACGATTAATTTCTGTACCGCTGCAGCGTGTACCTAATACCTTTGGATCTGGAAAAACATTTTCGATACGTGTGAATTACATAATGTTGATAATACACACACTTATTGAGCGTACGCTTATTTTGAAAATACACGCACTTATTCCGTTTAGATCGAAAAATAAAGTGGTAAAAAGGGCAAAATTATTCCCCGGGACCAAAGATGTATTGTATTTTAATGTGTACATTAATTATTAAGTTTATATTATCGTTTAATTGAAAAATAATGTGATTTTTTTTTATATTATAATTTATTATTTTATTTTTGTTTATATATATAAAAAAAAAAAAAAAAAACAATACGATTCGGCAATTTAGTGTTATAATAAAAACCACGCGAAGAAACGAAGCCATTTACTCGTACAATTTTCGTATTAATTGATAAAAAGAACGGTTAGAAAACTCATCGTGACGTTTACTCGAAAATATGAAATCAGATCACGTCAATAGACTGTATAATATTGTTAAAAATATGTAGAAGTGTTTATAGTTTTTCAATCGAACATGATATATTCTACGTGTTTGCACGTTTATTATTATCGAAATATGATCGCTATATATATATATAAACCTAATAATCAATTTATCATAATCTATGAGTTAAAAAAAAAAAAAAACAACCACTTAGATTTTGTTTCAAATAAAATATTAAACAGGTAAAACATATTATATATTTTGTTATCATCGGGTATTAGTGGTACTCACAAAATTTGTCCGGACGTTAAAGTCGCAAGCCGAAAGACGAAAACGAACGAATAGCACTCGCGTACTATATGCAGGGTATACAATAATTATTTATGTACTATGACGTTCAAAAACACTAAATATCATATAAGTACGTGTATAATAAACGTGAAATTTACGGCTGTAAACTATTATAACCGTCGATTCGTCCCCGGCGCCGAAGATTTATAAAACTATAATAAAAATTATGGAAATAAATAATAATATGGGTATATTATATACGTATATGTATTGTGTTAAAAAATTACGAGTGTTATACTTGGTAAAACGGAAAAAAAATCAGTAAAAATCCACACACTTGCACGCGTATAATATTATATTGTAATAACGTAGCAGTATATCAACAGTTGAATATTTGATGAGTATTTATTTTTTATTTTTTATAATTTTTTATTTTTTTATTATTATTGTTGTTATCTATCAGAAGAGGACAGCCACGACGCTAGAGCCAACGGGCACCGAACGATGACTGACTGCCGGCGAGTCCGTTTACCGAGTCACCGGTACCGCGGCAGATATTTTGTCCGTTGGTCGCTCACGGTCACATAATATTATCGGCGGCGCGAAGCTCCCGCGGCCTTTCCCTTCGTCGATTCCCGTGCCGCGATCATCGCGCGCACGATTACCGCAACCGCGGTTAACATTAGAATATGGTCACCCGCACGGCGTCTATCGCATGGGTATGGGCCTAGCGAACCGCCACCGCGATGCGACGGACGTGCGGTTCACCGGTAGCGGATTTGCGAGCGGCAAGAGCGTTTCGGGCCGGTGCAGTGGCGGTCATTCGGATTTTGCCACGGTGCACCGGGGGGCGGGGGGAGGGAGAAAGAGGGGGATATGGACAATTTTTTAACAACTACTTATTTTTATTATTTATTTTTATTGTTTTTTTTTTACGGGCACGGCTCTTTGAGCGTAAAATTTACATTTACTTATAACCAACAGATTACATAACTTTATCTATAATATTCATTTCGTAGGCGATTCAATTGACATTCAGCGATTAAAAAAACAAAAGAAGGGTCCGCGTTAGCAATCGTTAACAAACGTCTAACAAGCTTGTGGTGTCGTATAGAATCGATGGTGCTAATTATCGGAGTGCGAAAAGGATTTTTAAATGGATGGTAAATTGGGGAATTCGGAAATCAATCAGTGAACACCGGAGAATCTGTTTTATCAGACGATAAAATTGTTTAAAAATTGTATGTTTAATGATTGTCTACGATCCACCAACGATTCTAATTCAAGTCTATCAGCTACATAACTTTAATGAGCATAGTCATGATGAGAATAAGTAATACTAAGTGAAAAACTAGTAAAACTTGAAAAATTGTGTTCGATACATTTTAGTTGAACGATCTTCTACTCTGTATGGATTCTGGCCATATTGAAGAATTGAATGAAAGAATCGAACCAATGAACAGTACAATGCCTTAATCGACACTTGGTGCTAAAATTTCTTTGGATAGCCTTTTTACAAATCCCAAAACTATTAATACTTTACAACATATGAATTGTATATATAGACTAGGATCAAGAGTTTGAGAGAACTTGAAACCAAGATCATTAACAGAGTCATTAACACGAATCAACTATATTGTAAAACCATAGAACAGGGGTGGTAGACCTCACGTATGATCTTGAGCATAACCTTGCACTTAGTAATGTTAAGCGAAAGCCCGACAAGATTAGACCATTCAATAAATACGTATATACAATTCTTTCTGAATTATAACACACTCTTTAAGTGAATCAATTTTTTAAAATAGATTTATGTCGTCAAAAATCATAATATTATTATTTAAATTACTATGATTTTGTATTAATTTAATAGATAATAATACACATTATTATAAATATCAAATGAAAATGAGATCATGGGGGGTTGACTATATTTCTCCTTATTCCTCCTCCCCATCACTTTTGACCATCTCTGTGTCAAAGTTTGATGTCAACAAAATTGTGTGTGTTCAAGCGTCAGGTTTACCAACAAGCATCAGAACAAGCTGGTGATTTGAGTGGCAAAATTTTAGAGCCATCAAATTTATTACTTCTTAAAGAAGACTAAGACATAGAGATGAATTAACTTTTTTTGATCATAAACGATTCTCTTGGACAGTTTTTATTGATATTTTAAACCGATGATTTAATACTGATTTATACTTTTTTTTGAAAATTTACGTAAAATACCAACAATTATTCTAACATGGTCCAAGATAAAATTCGATTTTGTATAATATTTTAAGTTTTTTTTTTTTTTAATTGTCTAGCAATAACTAAAAATATAATATTGAAATGACGTATGTATGACGTATTGTATGACGTAGGTTTGCTTATTTGTGATACATTTTAAAATAAGAAATAATAATTTGATTAATAATACCTTTCTTTATGATTTTTTTTTCTTCTTAAGTTATGATATCGAAGAAAATGACCTTAGAAAATTTTAAGAACATTTCGGTAATATTATTTTAAACTAATTAAAATAACATCGAAACATTTTTATAAAAAAATATATCCAGCGCGACGGTAGTAGTGGCACGAAACTAAGTAAAAAAAAAGAAAATAGCTTGTAACTATACATATAAATAAATAGCCACTAACGTATAATAATAGAGGAAACCTAGTTGGACCATTGAAAAACTGTGCTAATTTTTATTAATCCATCGGCCAGCTCTACAGGGCAAACGGCTTAACATATAAAGTCGTATAAGGTATCAATCGATCAGGAATATTGTGCAGATGGGAACAAGGGAATTCTCAAGCAGATTAGTTAGATGAATTAAAAGTTAAAACCAAAACTGTTCAAATACTTTCAAGTTCGATTTTTCGTATTCGACGAAAATATCGTTAAATATCTACTCTTGTTGCTGTGGTGGCGACGACGACGTAAAATATAATTGTCTCCCGATCCGCCGCTTATCGTCGCTTATCGCTACTTTCGTTGCTGGGATGACGACGCCGAACCCTCTGTTAGGTGGAAAAGATAATTACATTATAGTTTTAGAAAAAAAAAAAACTCGTTAAAATGAAAATAACAACAGGAGGCCAGCGATGCTAGGTAGATTATAATTATTATACATAATAAATAACAACTAAAAACAATGTATAATAAAGAAAAAAATGACCGAAATTTATCTTCAGGTTTAACAAAGTCAAATAAAATCGCGACTTTTTTTTCATAAAAAATAGCTGATATCACACCAAAAACACTTCATTATAACTCCGTGTAAAAAGAAAGCTAGGTTAAAAAAATTAAATTTAGTAATGATTAAATCTTTAAAAGACGTTTTATAATATGGAAACTAAGTAAAATGTAATTTTATAATATTACAAATACCTATGACGACAAATAAGATCAATTGTAAAGTTAAATATTTAATTAACACATTGTTTAACTACTTGGCAGGCCGTGTAAGTATACTTAAATAAATATAAATAAGTAACCATTTTAGTTAATTTCGTAAATAAATTAATAATTTATAAACAATATGTTGGTGTGGTGTCGACCTTAGTCATGACTGTTGACGGAGTTATCATAATAAATTAAATCTTAATAAGGTGATAAAATACTATTTTGATAGGGGGGGGGGGCTTTTAAGCGATTTCTACGTTTAGCAATAAAGAAACCCAGAAACAGTGAAGACGTATTTAACTTTGTATGTTTGTCGGTTTGCACTGCACCTGCATCAGCTACCAGCTATAATATATTTTATTATACGTCTATATCGCAACGATTGCTACCGCGCATTTTAAAACGATCCGTACTTGTAGTTCGGTATTATTATATATTATCGATAAAACGCACACGGATGTGTAAATCCGCAGTATTATTAGGTAGGTATACGTACAACATCGATGACGGAAGAATTAGTGTAAGTATGTGGGCATAATAATAACATTTTGTTTATACATCACCACACGTGTTTGCGACGTCATAATATTTACATAAATTTCAATATTGAAAAATGTAGACGGATGGTCGATATAGGTAGACGATTTAGCGTCGTTGGATCCATTTGTCTTTCCTAATGGATTTACACGGCTGTTTAACGTTCACATTCGATACGCACGATAATGCGCCTAGGTAACTATATTTTACTACAAGTATTCGGATTCAATTACCTATAAAACGTAAAAACCTTCGTTATAAATTATTAATATGATAATATAATAGTAATGTACTATATTTAACTGTCAAATTTCATAATAATATTGAACATTTACTACGCAATCCGCAGTGTACCATGATGACGAATGAGTAAATTACCTATTATAAAAGTATATAGAAGCGCTCATGAAGATATAATAATAATTAATAATTTATTATTATCATAGCGTCGGAACGTCAACGCCTTTTGCTCAATCAACTATTTGAGGTACGTATACATTAAAATATAATAGTATAATATAGCCACTCTCCCTTTTGTTTTCGGTGCGGCCGTCGCGATGATGAAATAATGACAAATTAGATACCTATGTCGATTTAAGGGTCATCCGGCGTGTATTAATTTTGTCGATTTACTTATAGGCACGTTTAACAACCAGCCGGAACCGCGAGAATCGCGTTTGCGAAACGCTATTTATGAATCGATATTGTGTGATAGATTTGTCCGAGAGATAATACGATTGTAAACGCCACGATGGTAAAAATGTACCGATTAATATACTTATAATTAAACTCATTATTTTTTAAAATTATTTAATCGTACATCGATATCCGATACATTCGTTTTGATATTATTGGTAACCTTACTAAAGTATAATATAATATAATAATAATAATTATAATATTATGATATAATCGAAATTTAAATCGATTTACGCAACCCTATACGCAGGAGCGTGTTTAAGTTAAGAGAAAATAAACGGAAATACTTCGCACGATGGATGGCCACTTTTGTAGTTGAAAACTTAGGAATGTAGAGGAGAGATTTATTGTACATATCTGTACTCAAAGATGAATTATTGCTAATGGAAAACGATTCTGAGCGGAGTTCGGTTATACATGTAAGGCCGTAATAATATGTATTTACGATTTGAAAATAATACATTTCGTACATTTTCCTGTTTTTCCTAAATTTTTTCGGGATTTTTCCCATTTATTATGAAACCCCTGAGAAAATCAAAAAATAACTCCTTTAAATATTACTCCACAGAAATTTCCTTCCAAAAAATGTGCTAAACTTGAAAATTAGAACAAAATTACAAAATTGTTTAAAGAAAAAAAAATAAACGTCATTTTAAAACCAATATATTAAAACTATTACCATTACATTGCGAAATAATTTGACTAAGAATAGAAAATTATAGGAACGTAAGTAACCAGAAATACATTTTTTTTTAGGAATATCTTACAAAAATTATAGGAAAATCAAGAAAATATATTCGTAGAAAAAAAAATACAGGAGCGGTAACAATATTACGAAATTTAAATCAGTTTCTTATCATTCGTTTCATATTGTAAATAGAATACAAGTGACAATACATAGATACAGAACTATAGAAA